CATTTTTGCTCTGGGTATCACAATTACGATGAGGCACTTTGAGTCATGTGCTTTTTCAGTGGGTCGCTATTACAAAGTACCCTGTTGGTTGCTGGGCTCTGGCAGCTGAATGTACAGCAGCTCCTCTAGGTGTGTTCTTGGCCTGAGGGTGAGAGCTGCTGAGTGTCCCAGGTTGAATTGGTTTGGGGGTTAATGGCTTGATAGAGAGATGTACACTCTTCAGAGGACACATCTAGCAAAAGACTTTTTCTAGGAACAGAATTTTTTTCCTGTAGGAAATCCATTCTATCTGGTTTAGGTGGGGCCAAAGTTCCCCTAAATTTTCCTTCTCTGCCTCAGAGGTGGGCATGTGACCCAAGCCAGGCCTATGAGCCCCTTGGGGTCCATTCCCAGTTATTTTCTGTAGAGTAGATGAGGAGCCATCCATCTGTTTTTCTAGTGTCTTGGTTTCATTACCATGACCATGGAAGTCTGAATCTTTCTCTAGAATCCACTTTTGATGCAGTTGCCTTGCCTTCTAAATTGTTCCCCTCCTGCAGAACTGCTTTCTCTCGGATTTCCACGTGCTCCTGGCTACTTGTCCCTGGCAATATTCTAGGACACAGGAACTTCATTTCTCTCTCCCCCTCCCTCCCCACAGTCTCAGTTCTCTGCCCTAGGACCTCAAGGCCTATCCCAGACTGCACGCTTGGCCCCCAGTGGAACATGGGAGAGCCATCATAGGGCTCCATCTACTCTGGTGCTGGGAAGTCACTGACAATCTGTGCCAGAGGCAGCTGGGGTGTCCATGGGGCAGCTGGCAATTGAGGAGCATGAACACCCTGAACTGGCCTGACCTGGGCTTGTTCTTCCCAGCACCATTTTTAATCTTATTTTATTTTAGATTTAAGGGATACACATGCAGGTTTGTTACATAGGTATATTTTGTGATGGTGTGGTATGGCTTCTATTGAGCCTGTCACCCAAGTGATGGGCATGGTACCCAAAGGGTGGTTTTTCAACCCTTATCCCCAGTGGTTTTTCAACATTTCTCTACCTTCCCTTCTTCCTTTAGGAGTCTCCAGTGTCTGTGGTTCCCATCCTTATGCCTGTGTGCACCCAGTGTTTAGCTCCCATCTTTTTTTTTTTTTTTTTTTGAGTTGGAATCTTACTCTGTCACCCAGGCTGGAGTGCAGTGGCATGCTCACAGCAACCGCAGCCTCCACCTGCTGGGCTCAGGCGATCCTTCTGCCTCAGCCTTCCAAGTAGCTGGAACCACAGGCATGCGCCACCATACCCAGCTAATTTTTTTATTCATTGTAGAGACGAGGCCTCAGCATGTTGCTCAGGCTGTTCTTGAGCCCCTAAGCTCAGGCAGTCCTCTTACAGCTGCCTCCCAAAATGCTAGGATTAGAGGCATGAGCCACTGCACTCGGCTAGCTCCCACTTGTGAGAACATGTATTCAATTTTCTGATTCTGTGTTGATTCCCTTAGAATGATGGTCTCCATGGCCTGGCTCTGTGGCTCAGCCTATAATCCCAGCACTTTGGGAGGCCGAGGCAAGTGGATTGCCTGAGTCCCTGGGATTGAGATCAGCCTGGACACCTTGGTGAGATCTCGTCTCTACAATAAATTAGCTGGGTGTGGTAGCATGCACCTGTAGTTCTGGCCACTTGGAAAGCTGAGGCAGAAGGATTGCTGGAGCCTAGCAGGTCGATGCTGGGGTGGTTGGGAGCATGCCACTATACTCCAGCCTGGGCAACAGAGTGAGACTTCAACTCAAAAAAAAAAAAAAAGAATGATAGTCTCTAGCTGCATCTATCTTGCTGCAAAGGACACGATTTCATTCTTCTTTATGGCTATGTAGTATTCCACAACGTATATGTACCACATTTTCTTTATCCAGTCCATCATTGATGGGCACCTAGGTTGGTTCCATGTGTTTGTTATTGTGGATAGTGCTGCAACAAACATATGAGCATAAATGTCTTTTTAGTGGAACAATTTATGCTATGGGTATATACCCAGTAGTGGGACTGCTGGGTCAAATGATAAATCTATGTTTAGTTCTTTGAGAAATCTCCAAACTGCCTTTCACAGGGACTTACTAGCTTACATTCTCACCAGCAGTGGGTTTTCTATTCTCTGCAACCTCACCAACGTCTGTTGTGTTTTGACTTTTTAATAATAGCCATTCTGACTGTTGTGAGATGGTATCTCATTGTGGTTTTGATTTGCATTTCTCTGATGATTAGTGATGTTGAGTATTTTTTTCATAACGTTTGTTGGCCACTTGTATGCCTTTCTTTAAGAAGTGTCTATTTATGTCCTTTACCCACTTTTTAATGGGCTTTTTTTTTCTGTCGATTTGTTTAAGTTCTTCGTAGATTCTGAGTATTAGACCTTTGTGAAATACAGAGTTTGCAAATATTTTCTCCCAACTGTAGGTTGTCTATTTACTCTGTTGATGGCTTTTTTTTTGTTGTGCAGAACTCTTTATTTTAATTAGGTTCCACTTACTGATTTTGGCTTTTGCTACATTTGCTTTTGAGGACTGGGTCATACATTTGCTGCCTAGGCTGAAGTCCGGGAGAGTGTTTTCTAGGCTTTCTTCTAGGGTTTTTATACTTTGAGGGCTTATGCTTAAGTCATTAATTCACCTTGAGTTAATTTTTGTACATGGTGAGAGGAAAAGGCCTAACTTCATTCTTCTGCATGTGGCCCGTTTTCTCAGCACCATTTGTTAAATAGGGTGTCCTTTCCTCAATGTTTATTTTTACTGACTTTGTAAAACCAAGAGTTAATTGTAGATTGGCGCTTTTATTCCTGGGTTCTCTATTTTTGCACCTGTATCATGCTGTTTTGGTTACTGTAGCCTTGTAGTAAAGCTTGAAGTCTGGTAGTGTAATGCCTCCAGTTTTGTTCTTTTTGCTTAGGATTGCTTTGACTATTCAGGCTTTTTTTTGTTTCCATATAAAAATTTAAATATTGCTTTTTCTAGATCTGTGAAAAATGATAGGGACTGTGTTGAATCTATAGATTGCTTTAGACCGTTATAGACATTTTGATGATATAATTCTTCCAATCCATAAGCATGGGATATTTTCCATTTGTGTCATCTTTGATTTCTTTCAGCAGTGTTTTGTAGTTCTCATTACAGGTTCTCATGATTGTGTCCCCAGAGCAGGGCCAGCCTTTAGATCTCTCTTTCTCTTGAAATCCTCCTATCCCTACCCTAAACCCAAGTACCCTTCTCATTTCTCATTTCCTTCCCAGATCATAGAATGCTGACTGAAAATTTTTTTTTTTTTTTTGAGTCTCACTCTGTCGCCCAGACTGGAGTGCAGTGGCCGCTCCCGGCCACCGCAGCCTCGACCTGCTGGGCTCTGGCGATCCTTCTGCCTTAGCACTCCAAGTAGCTGGAAGTACAGGCATGCGCTACCACACCCAGCTAATTTTTGATTTATTGTAGAGATGAGGTCTCTCCAAGTTGCCCAGGCGGGTCTTGAACCCGCGGGCTCAGGCAATCCATTCACCTCAGCCTCTCAAAATGCGGGATTTTTAGCCACCGAGCCTGGCTAAAAATTTTTTTAAGTGACAAGGTCTTGCACTGTCACCCAGGTTGGAACACAGTGGCATGATCAAAACTCACTGCAAGCCGGGCTCGGTGGCTCAGCCTATAATCCCACGCCTTTGGGAGGCTGAGGTGAGTGGATTGCCTGAGCCCGTGGGTTCGAGACCCGCCTGGGCAACTTGGCGAGACCTCATCTCTACAATAAACCAAAAAAGTAGCCGGGCGTGGTAGCACGCACCTGTAGTTCCAGCTACTTGGAAGGCTGAGGTGGAAAGATCGCCGGAGCCCAGCAGGTCGAGGCTGCGGTGGCCAGGAGCGGCCACTGCACTCCAGTCTGGGTGACAGAGTGAGACTCCAACTCAAAACAAAACAAAACAAAACAAAAACAAACAAAAAAAGCTCACTGCAGCCTTTGACTCCTGAGCTCAGGCAATCCTCCTGCTTCAGCCTCCCAAATAACTGGGACTGCAGAAATGCGCCACCACACCCAGCTAATTAAAAAAAATTTTTTTTAGAGACAGGGTCTTGCCTTGTTGCCTAGGCCAGCATCATCTACTTTTCTAATAAAAATTTTATTAGTCCTGGCTGTTGTCCTGTCCTGATGAGAAAAGACCTCTGTGGTAGACTGTATTATTCAAAACACGAGTTCCACCCCCAACATACAAACACTACGAGAAGATTATACATCCCCACCCTTTGAATTCAGGAATGGTCACGTGGCTTACTTTGGCTAGTAAAATGTAGGCAGAAATGACAACATCACTTCTAAGCAGAGACTCAGCCAGTTTGTAGTTCTTTTTTTTGAGTTGGAGTCTCACTCTGTCGCCCAGACTGGAGTGCAGTGGCCGCTCCCGCCACTGCAGCCTTGACCTGCTGGGCTCCGGTGATCCTTCCACCTCAGCCTTCCGAGTGGCTGGAATTACAGGCGCGCGAGTTTGTAGTTCTTTATGTCTCTCTTCTCCCCTTTGTGAGGACACTAGAAGGGGTTGGAGGGAAGATGGTGTCTGGAGCTGCTGCTAAAAGCATCTTTTCTTGTAAGCTACTGAAGTTTTAGAGAGTTTTACCCTAAGCTGACCGATACTCTTCTTAGGTCCTATCAACGGCCCCTCTACGTTCATATTCCAAAGTGCTCTCTGTGCCAGGATGTACCCTTGAGCTGGAACATCAGGCCCAACTCAGTAGGGAGTGGAACTGCCTGGTCCTGAGTCTTGGGAGGCCTAAAGCTCTCTCTGTCCTTAAGGTCTAAAGCTGGAGTCCTTGTACTTGACTCTGTTACTGCCTGTCCTCTGGTCTAACTTGCTCTGTCCTAGCTGGTTGGCTCTCCCATGGCCCTTGGCTTGGGTAGTAATACTCTATGACTTCCTATTCCAGAGCAAAGGACACAGCTCACCCAAGGGTGATTAGTGGTTTCACTTTGAATGTTCACATTTCTTGGAAGCATTCACAATCATATAAAATTATTTTTATTAAAATAGAAAAGCTTTCCAGTATATTGCATTGAAGACATTTATACAGAAAAGAAGCAATTGCAACAAACATGCTACATCAGCACTGAGATAATCTGAAAGCTTTAAGTGCCCACTTTTCAACAACATTTTGGCATAATAAGTATATCCCTATGTATTTCAGAGGGTACATATAATACTGAAAAAATACTTCATGTGAAATCTACGTTTGGGTGCACACAAACAAGAAGTATTACATCGAATAGCTTATTCCAAACTGTGAAACACATTCAAAATATTCAATTTCTTAGACAACATGCAAACATTTTAATACTTCACATTTAAAAATATATAAACCACAATTCTTTATAATTCTATATCAAAAAAGAAAGACAGAACATTTATCTACATTGTGCATATCACAAAAAGCAAATGTGTTTTCATGAACAGAAAGTCCTGGGTTAACACACATGATTGTCATTTTACAAATATGGCTATTCACCTTCTTCATAATAAAATAGAAATATCATGTATTATTTACATGAACTACTAATTATTTCACTTTTTGGCAATTATATAAGTAGCAGCAATTGGTTTAAAGATTGATGCTTAAAAACTCTAAATTTAACTCGGATGAATACTGAAGAATAGACATCTGGCTAATATAAAAACTGCATAATGCAAGATGCCTTGATGCGATGTAACCTCTCCCTTTCACAAAAGTCACAGACACAAATCAGTGACCACTGAGACTGTTACAACATACAATTATCTGAGTGCCATTAAATCAGCTTGCTTTTGCTTAACACAAAATATGGGGTCCTGAATTAAACTTCTGTAATTTACTGTAAATTTGCCTGATGATTTACATGATAACTTCAAAGATAGTTTATCTTGATTTCATACTCTAATAGTAGTGTCTCTTCACTAAGACCCCCTAGCTTCTAGGTAGAGTAGATAATTATCTGTAAACAAAAACAAACACAAAGGGAACCTTAATACTTAAAGGAACTCTGAAATGAAGTTTCTCTGATATAAACCTGATAGTAAAGTGAGTTATCTTTCTAAAAAGTGATCATCTCATTTATCACTGACAAGAAATTTGCTTTGAATGTAAATCATAAAGTAGCAATCCACCAGCAATAGATATCTTCTTTTTATGAGTATTTGGGAGAATGTATTTTAACATTTGTAAAAATAAAACAATAAAACTCTACTCATATTGGCAGATAAAAAAAACAAACACTGTGTGGTGAATAGAGGTGACGTGTGGTTTTCCTTGGCCACTATTCAACTATAAACCAATAGTCCTGAATGTCTTTTACAAAATGGAAAAGTAGGTCAAGGAACCTTTTGCTCCTTTGTGGGCATTCAGTTATGTGTCCGGAGCAAGCATGAGGTGAGGCCCAGGCTGAGCAGGAGGAGAAGGATGGAACGGCGGGAAAGCCAAGCCCTGACAGCAGCTGATGGCACACTGCTAGAGATCTGCACCTGGGAGATGATGAGGGCAGAGAGAGGGACGTGGGATGCCAGGGTAGGGCTGTCAGAGTTGATAAGAGATTCGATCTTCTCTGCTTCTTTATTGCAGGCTTCAATCTGGGAGGGCAGAGGTAAGATTCTCTTAATATAAAACCACAGAATCCATGAAAAGGTCAAGTAAGACAAATTCCACATATATCCTAAAGTAGGGTGGCCTCCAAGGGCATCTGCTTTCTCTTTGTCCTTCTTTTCTTAGCCAAAGTAACATTTTATTGTAGTCTTAATTTATTACATAAATATAACAGCATTAATGGAAACCAAGCCAGAAAAGAATGATCATTGTGGAATGATACTGCCCTAATCAATCAACTGTTTTCATTTTCCCACAATCCTGTTCACCTCTTACCCATTAAGACATTATCTTTACATTAGAGTTGCAGGGAATGCACTTTCTTTTTTCAGTTGGGGAACTTGCTCTGTCATCCAGGCCAGAGTATAATGGCATGATCATGGCTTACCACAGCCTTGACCTCCGGGGCTCAGGCGATCCTTCTGCCTCAGCCTCCCAAGTAGTTGGGACTATAGGCATGTACTATTCCACAGCCTGGCTAATTTTTTAACTTTTTGTTGAGGTCTTACTATGTTGCCTAGGCTGGTCTTGAATTGCTGGGCTCAAGTGATCCTCCAGCCTCAGCCTCCCCGAGTGCTAGGATTATAGGTGTGAGCCACTGCACCAGCTGGGGATGTACTTAGCATGAGGATGAAAACAATTCACCTTCATGAGGTTTCCAGTGATGGCAGCTTCCAAATAGCTCACATTCATTCCCTTCACTTGAGCCCTCACACCGCTGAGGCTGAAATTTGAGCCTGTATGAGTGGGGTTCTAAGTGTCTCTAGATTGTGAGGAAGAAACACCGGGCCTCACAAGACCAGCTCTGATGGGCTCTTCCTTCACAGTGAGAGGAGCACAGTCCTCATGAGACCAGGGTCTGTTCTGGTTTTGTCATTGCATGACCTGGGCCAGTTTTTTCCCTTTTGGGCCTCAGCTCAGATTCAATGATTTCTCAGACCTCTTCTCTTCCGTCTCTGCACACTCTGGAGTCACAGCATCTTGACCTCTTCCCTCCTTGGTTTCTTTGCATTCCACTGTCCAATGTGTATTAGGTATCAGTGCCTGGTGAAGTGCTTGGTTCTTCCAAGACTGCCTTGCTTTTCTCCCTCCAGTCCTGCTAAACTTATGCCTCTATTTCCCCTCCCTTGAATCCTTCCCTGGTCCTGGCTTGTGCCTACCCCTCCTAGGTACACCGAACTTGAAAGTGACAAGATGGCTGCACAACGTGTGCTGACCCCACCTGCAGAGCTTTTGGGTGGTGATCGACAGGGATGATCAGGATCACGATTTCCGATTCAATGCTGAAATACCCAAATACATCACACTGTGGGACAGACACGTGCATGCGGATTTTCTGAAGTATTTCCAGAATTGTTATTGGCTTCTTATTTGTTACCTAGAAAGAGAAAGCATTCCATTACCTGAAAAATGGAATTCCCTAGGACTGGCTAAGCTACCTGGCTTCAGCTGCTGGTCGAGGAGGCTCTTTGGACCAAGAAGTCCTCAGGGTCAGGCCCCGACACAGCCCTGTTAGGCCAGATTCTGAAGCTCCAGGGGCCATTATGATGGGATCTTGCCTGACTGTGGAGCTCTGAGTGAAGATAAACACTCTCACCACAGCACTTTTTAAAAAGTGACTGTGACTGTTCTGAGTCAGAGGCCACGGGGTACTTAAAGTCTTCCTGTAAAAGTACAGGTACTTTTTTTTTTTTTTGAGTTGGAGTCTCACTCTGTCACTCGGGCTGGAGTGCAGTGGCACGCTCACGGCCACCATGGCCTCGACCTACTGGGCTCAGGTGATCCTTCTGCCTCAGCCTTCCAAGTAGCCGGAACTATAGGCATGTGCCACCACGCCTGGCTAATTTTTTGATTTATTGTAGAGATGAGGTCTCACCAAGTTGCCCACGCTGGTCTTGAACCTGTGGGCTCAGGCAGACCTCATTCTGGCCTCCCAAAGTGCTGGGATTACAGGTGTGAACCACTACACCCGGCCCAGTACAAGTGTTTTAATCAAAATGGACATAATTCTCCAGGCAGGGACAGGTGTTGGCTGCTACATTTCTGCAGCCCTGTTTCCACAAAAGGAAGCAGCAAAAGTGATGGAACAGAAAAGGGAAAAGGGCAAAACCCTGCAGGACAGGGGGCAGGCTCTGGAAGTTCCCTCAAGAGGCCTGGGGACTGGTGTGAGAGGAGGTGAGCTTGAAACCACCCAGGAACCCACCTGTCTCTAGCTCCCTGGCTCTGCCTGCAGCCCCTACCTATGACCGTGCCAACAGGGACCTTTCCTAAGGAAGGTTCAGGCTGACTATAATGTGCCTAGCCAGCGTACAGAGGGAAGGAGCACAGGCTTGGGAGTTAGCCAACTTGGGGGCAAACCCTTGTCCTGCTGATAAGGGCTAGATGGCCTCGGGCAAGTTAAATTTCTGAAGATTTGTTTCTTCATCTATGAATGGGGACATACATTTGACCCTGTAGGATTACTGAGGGGTTTAGTAATAAGGTTTCAACAGCACTTGGCAGACAAAGCCATTTACCTTAGCGATGGTATCCAGTTTTTCTTTGTCAAATAAAACTCTTAACATCCCAGCACATAGTGGGCAACAAGCACCTGTGTAACAGAAACCATTTTATGTGTGTTCAGAATTAGAAACAAGGAGCATTCAAAATTATTGGTGAGGCTGGATGGGATGGCTCATGCCTATAATCCCAGCACTTTGGGAGGCCTAGGTGAAAGGACTGCCTGAGCCCACCGGTTTGAGATCAGCCTGGGCAACTTGGCAAGACCTCATCTCTACAATAAACCAAAAAATTAACTGGGTGTGGTGGTATGTGCCTGTAGTTCCAGCTACATGGAGGGCTGAGATGGAAGGATCACCTGAGTCCAGCAGGTGGAGGCTGTGGTGGCCGTGAGCATGCCACTGCACTCCAGCCTGGGTGACACAGTGAGACTCCAACTCAAAAAAAAAAATGTTGGTGAAATGACCAGTACTTCATTCTGGGCAAGGAGAGCTACAGCTGCCCTTGCTGCTGATTGCACCTTCAGATACATTCCCTCCCCAAAATCCTTCTCCACCCTTTCATCCTTCACTACCACTTCTCAGGGTGAGGAGGCTGCAGTGCAGACAGCACAGAGAGCTCGCCTTTCAGGAGACATGGGGCCTGAGCCCGCCCTGCCCCAAAACTCGCTGTGTGATTCTGGGAAAGCCTTTTGTTTTCCTGTCTGCAAAATAAGGGAGCTAGTGTCTCAGGGGTTTCATGCTAATTTAATTTTAAAAATAATTACAATAATAATAACTATTATTTTGAGACAGGTTCTCACTCTGCCACCCAGACTGGAGTGCAGTGGTATGATCATAGCTCACTGCAACCTCAGACTCCTGGGCTCAAGTGATCCCCCTGAGTAGCTGGAACTATAGGCACATACTACCATGCCTGGTTAATTTTTTGATTTTTTGTAGAGATGAGGTCTTCCATGTTGCCTAGGCTGGTCTCGAACTCCTGGGCTCAAGCAATCCTCCCATCTTGGCCTCCCCGAGTGCTGAGATTACAGCCATGAGCCACCACACCTGGCCCCCTAATTTTGAAAATTATTTTAAACTGTTTTTAAAAAAATACTACAGAATATGGTATAATCAAATATAATATTATACCATATTTTAACACAACAGAGACTATTAGCCAATCCATTAGCAGCCTTTCCACCTGGGCCTCTCTCCCTTCATTCTGCTTCATTGTACTTGTTGCCACCTCAGTACTGATTTACATGGTAATATGTGTTTGGTCTGCCACCTCCCTCAGAGCATGGTCTCCAAGAAGAAAAAGGCTTTGTTTTGCTCACTGCTGTGTCTCCAGTGCTTATAAGAGTATCTGGCACATAATGGAAGCTCAGTAAACATTCAATCAGTTAACGGATGGAGGAATTAACCTGTTCTGTGCAGACTTGGAATGAAGTCTCTTCTGCTACCTCTGGTTAACTGAAGAGTGTGAGATTGTAAGATAAGCTGTTTAATAAAAAATGGTTACTGCTTACAACATTCGTATGAAACAAGACCTTCCTGATTATATGCAACTAAAACAATTACATTAGATGCTAAGGCCAATCTAACAACTATCTTCTGTTTCTCTCAATTTCAAATGTTTGTGTTCATCCAAACTACTTTAGCTATTCATTCATTAATTATAAATTCATTTTTCATTAATTTTATAAGTAAACATTAAACATTTAAATTAATAACCCTAATTTTAGTAATAAATAATAAAAATACTGCTTTGTCTGTTTATATGGTGGTGTTGGTTGTAAGATTTTGCTTGAAAAAGGGCTCTATGTTGTTTTAAAATCACAGGACCAGATGATATCTAAGGTAATCCATGGCTTTTTAAGGTCAACACAGAGTAATGGGTCTAATCAGTGTAAGAGTCTTTTCAAGACTTTTTGAAAAATTGAAAAGAACTTAGTCAACTCTCTTCTCAATGACTCACTTTCTGGAGGTAGTTAAACACATCTTCCCGATCCCATCCCAAATACTGCCAGCCTACCGGGTGGGATGATGGGTTTACACCCAGTCGCTGAGAGCAAAGGACATTTCACAGCAGCACACTCAGCCACAGAACTGTGTTCTGAGAGGACCCCGACAGCCTGGCAGGGCCCATGGTAATCAACTGCCACACGATCTGAGTAGGCGGCACACACGCTGCTATAGGTCTCTCCGTTGTGCCCGCAGATGGGTTCTGTGGCTCTGCAGAAGGGCTGAGGGCAAACAATCACATTTAGCCTGGAAACCTCTGTGATGCACCTTCCCTAACCAAGAGTACACAGCATGTCTCCCTATTTTCAGGAGGGAAAAAAGACACAGGTATAGATTGTGGGGACCCTCTTAAGGGGGGCTAAATGGGGCATGGTGAACAATAGGGTTGTCTCAAGATGAACTGAAAAGATTACTTTTCTCAGCCTCTGTGGGACCTGAGTGCTCATTCCATGTGAACTGATATGAGATAAAAATCCCTCTCCCTGCTCTGCTCAGGTCTCTTAGAATCCCAGAAGTGCCTGTTTGAAGAAACAAGATCAACCTTTGTACAAATGTGGAAGTCTTATCAATTCGTGCTGGGTACAGAAAAAGGCGAGGGGAGAGTTTAGTGGGGCAGACAGACTCTGGAACCAATAGGTAGGTTAGGAATAATCAGAGAAAAATCTTAGCCAGGAAGAGGGAACAAGTAAGAAGAGAAGACTGGGAATTCAAAGTAGGTGGTGTCAATGAGATTGGCACAGAAACTTTGAGAGAAGACAAGCCAAGGGGGACAAACTGGAGGGATTTTTCTAAACCATGAAGACCAGGGAATTGGATCAGTCATGTCAGGTGTTATTAGCTGGTTGTGGGCAGGGGATGCTGGGCCCAAAGATGGAACCCAGTGAGAGGGGCCTGCATAAAATCAGTGATGCATGGGGAAAGCTCCAAAGAGGTTGTCCTTGGTTTTTAAAATACTTTTTTGACTTAGGGTTCCACTCTGTCACCCAGGCTGGAGTGCAGGGGGTAAGATCACAGCTTGACCTCCTAGGCTTAGGCGATCCTTCCATCTAAGCCTTCCAAGTGGCTGGGATTACAGGCATGTGCCACCATGGCAGCCTAATATTTTGGGTTTTTATAGAGATGAGTTCTTGTATGTTGCCCAGGCTGGTCTTGAACTCCTGGGCTCAAGCAATCCTCCTGTTTTGGCTTCCCAAAGTGTTGGAGTTACAGGCGTAAGCCACTGCACCCAGCCTTGGTTTTTTTTTTTCCTTAAACATAAATGTAGATCCCACAACTCTAAAAGACTGAGACATAAACTGATATACAAAGACTTTAAGTCTTAGAGAAATGTTCCATCACTTTTCAGTACCCCGAGAGGTGGGGCTGTGGTGGGAAGAGTGGAGAAACTCTTTTCCTGGTTTTAACTCATGTTCTTGCTGTTTTCTAGTGAGGATCCATAGAGCCATGGGAAGTGAAAATGGTGTGGACCATGCCAGGGGTGTGAAGCCTTAAATGCTTTTCCTAGAGGTGGGCTACAAAAAGCTGTTCTCTGTTCTTGATTGTTGCACCAGATGCACAAGGGTACACAAACCAGCAAGAGCCTTCCCGAGCAAGGAGAAAGAGTCCTTATCTGTAGTGAAGGATTGGGTTCTCTGGACTTGGTAGGATTCACAGAGGACCCTTTCAACTGTAAAAGATCATAAATCAATTTCATGCCTAATGTACTTTGGTTTGTCAGCCAAACCCCTGTACCTGGCATGGGCCTTTATAAGAGAGGCTTTTTCCTCTTTGGTATAAAGTGCAGAGATTGTTGTGTTCCATGTGGTCAGTGTCACAAACGGGATCGCGGACCTGGTCACAGGCAAGCTGTCTTGGCACACACTCATATTGGCTACATCCAAACTTGTCAAAAGTTGTCAGGCAGACTTGTGGCTTGGGTACGCACCTGAAAAAGATGAAGGCAGCACAGTGAGCCACTCTAGGGAGGGCCTGCGGTGGGGCTGGCAAGGCACTGGATAAGCCACAGGAGGTTGAGGAGAAAGTAAGAGAGAAACTGGAATACTCCTGTACTCACAGAGCTTATGTAGAGCGGGAGAGTTGAGCCTCCACATAAGGAAGACTATGAGGTGGAAAAGACATGCAAAATGCTCGTGGGCACGAGTCATTCTCATTGAGGACCCTGGAGAAAGCTTCGGGAGAGGTGGTGTTTTGGTTGGAGCTTGGGGCTGCATGGGCCTGGCAGGCTGAGGAAGCAGCCTGTACTTGGGTGTGATGTGCAAGGATTGTGGTGCTGGGAAAATGGCAGATGACCTCGAGGGCAGGAGCCAAGGATGCGCACACAGCGTGGAAGTGCTGTGATGCGAGGCTAACAGGTGGGCTAGGGTCAATGCTGGAGGACTTGTAGTCAATAGCAAATGAAACTTTCAGGCACTTAATTTTCAGCTTGGCTAACATGAGTCTATCTTAAGAAGAGGCTTCACTCTATGTCTTAAACAATTCAGGTCTCTGTGCCTATACGACTAAGGAGCTGACCCCGGCTGCCTGCAAATCCCTGAGAGAAGGGCACCGTGAAGCTGGTCTTTCCTGGTATTATCTGGACCTTACTTCATTCTAAATCCCCGAACTCCTTCAAGGGAATAGGGATGCTGGTTCTCTTCTTCCTTAGACTTTTTTGCTTTCATAATTTTTACAAAGGTATGTATAACTTTCTGTAAGAAGATTAAGACCTATAAAAATGCCTAGCTTTCAATGGGTATTTGCAGCAACAGGATACACAAATATTAGTCTGCAAAATAAAAGAAGAATAGAGCCGGGTTCAGTGGCTCAGCCAATAATCCCATGCCTTTGGGAGGCTGAGGTGAGTGGTTTGCCTGAGCCCGCGGGTTTGAGACCCGCCTGGGCAGCGAGACCTCATCTCTACAATAAATCAAAAAATCAGCCAGGCGTGGTAGTGCATGCCTGTAATTCTGGCTACTTGGGAGGCTGAGGTGGAAGGATGGCTGGAGCCCAGCAGGTCGAGGCTGTGCTGCCCGGTAGCGGCCACTGCACTCCAGTCTGGGTGACAGAGTGAGATTCCAACTCAAAAAAAAAAAAAAGAATATAGTAGCTAGTGTTATTTCAGTTTCAAAGGAAGTTACTTATATTCTTTTTTAGGGATAATCTCCTGCACCGAAAATACCACCACCACTGTATATGGTCACCCAGTCTGATGTGATCTAAAATTAGAATGCACTTAGATATGGTTTTAAGATGTTTGAAGAAAAATAATGGAAAAGAATATTTATTTATTTTTGAGTTGGAATCTCACTCTGTTACCCAGGCAGGAGTGCAGTGGCACGCCCCCAGCCACTGCAACCTTGACCTGCTGGATACAGGCAATTCTCCCATCTCAGCCTTCCAAGTAGCCAGAACTACAGGAGCATGCTACCATACCCAGCTAATTTTTAAAAAATTTATTGTAGAGATGAGGTCTCACCATGCTGCCCAGGCTGCTCTCGAACCTGCGGGCTCAGAGAATCCTCTCACCTCAGCCTCCCAAAGTGCTGGGATTATAGGCTTGAGCCAACGCACCCGGCCAGAAAAGAGTATTTAGAACTTCATTCCTCATTAATATGTGAGGGATGAGAACCTGGAATATCAGGAGAAATTTTGTAATTTTGGGGGAAAAAATCTGATCAGTTTGAGTGTATGGAAATAAGGGGATCATAAAAAATGGCTGACAATCTGGGGGCAAACAAGTGTAAACATGAATAGGGCAGTGACTTGTTCTAGTTTGCCTGGATATATCCTCATGTTTAGGAAAATGCCTGGTACAACAGTAGACACTTGATGAATAAATACAACTTTTTATTTTTCATTTTTTGTGAGTCGAGATTTCACTCTGTGCCTAGGCTGGAGTGCAGTTGTATGACCATGGCTCACCATAGCCTCAACTTCCTGGGCTCAGGTGATCCTCCTGTCTCGGCCTCCAGAGTAGCTGGGACTACTGGCAAGCACTATTACACCTGGCTAATTTTTTGTAGAGACGAGTTCTATATTGCCTAGGTTGGTCTCAAACTTCTGGGCTCAAGCAATCCTCCCACTTTGACCTCCAAAAGTGCTAGGATTACAGGTGTGAGCCAATACACCTGACCTCTTTTTTGACAATTAATTATTTTTTAAACTATTTGAACTATTTAAAAAATTATTTGGTAACATAAGCTTGTAGTGAAATTGAAAAGGTACAAGATGGTACACAGTGAAAAACAAGCCTCTCTTCCACTCTGTCCTAGACACCTAGTTCTCTTCCCTAGAAGTAACCACTAGTACCAATTTTTTATTTACCTTCCGGAGCTATTTTATGTAAGTATAAGCATTTATACATGCAGATCCAAAGGTTATATGCATTTAAAACTGTAAATCTGGCTAAACTGCCTTCCACAGAGGATGTAACAATCTTCCTTCAACCTCCTCTTGTATGAAAGTAGCCGTTTCCCAAGATTATGTTGTCACACTTTTTATCTTTGCCACTCTGATAGATGGAAAATGGTACACAACTGAAGTCTTAATTTAATTTAAATTTCTCTTAATATGAGGAAGGTTCAGTTTGTGAATTTGACTAGTTTTTTTTTTTTTTACCAAATTCATTTAATTTTCCTTGTGGCTATACATCTAGATTATAATAGCTCCTAGTCTCCCTGGCAGTTAGTTGCAGCTAACTGAGTTCTAGATAATGAGTGTGGCTGGAAATAGTGATCAATGCCACTATTTATTTATTTATTTTTGAGTTGAGGTCTCACTCTGTTGCCCAGGCTGGAGGGCAATGGCATGATCATGGCTCACCATAGCTGTGACCTCCTGATCAGGCAACCCTTCTGCTTCAGCCTCCCGAGTAGCTGGAACCACAGATGTGCGCCACCACACCTGGCTTATTTTTTGAGTTTTTGTACAGATGCAGTGTTACTATGTTGCCTAGGCTGGTCTTGAACTCCTAGGCTCAAGCAATCCTCCTGGAGGCCTCAGCCTTCCAAGTAGTAGATTATAGGCATGAGCCACAGTGCTGGCCCGAATGTCACTTCTGGACCTGGTCCACAAAAGCTTCTCAAGAGCAATCCCCAATATCTCCCTTCTTTAACTGTTGTCCAGATGCAGATACAGAGCAAGATTATGAGGCTTGTGGAAGATGGCAGTGTCACTAGATGAAAGCCTCCTATGCTTCTGATTAGCCACATGGAAAGCCACCGGCTGAACACACATGGACTTTATTTGATCTTCTACTATGTGAATGTAATGATATTTTGGGGTTTGTATACAGTAGTTAGAGTTACCCTAACAAAACTGCCTTTTCAAGTGTTTAAGAACTATTTGTTTTGCGTGTGTGTGTTTATGCCTTTGGCTCATTTTTCTATTAGGCTATTGATTTTTGCCCATTTTTATATTAGATTGATCTTTTTCATATTGATTTGTAGGGGTTCTTTATATTTAAGGACATCAACCTTTTCTCTGTGATATTCCTCCTAGTTTATCATTTGTCTGTTACCATGCAGAAAATTTTGATTTTCATATAGCTGAAATTTTCAATCTTTTCTTGGGTTTTATAGTACGCCCAGAACGGTTTTCCTACTTTGAGACTTCTTTTTGCCATTTTATTATAAAAGCAAGACAACCTTATTCAGAAAGGTTAGTCAATAGAGAAAGCAAATGAATAAACATACCAAAATGGCTGTCAATTCTACCTCCCAACACAACCTATATTTTGGCTTATTTTATGCATGGCATCCTGTCATCTTTCTACAGAAACTTTCTTGGCTTAGTTTTGTTGTATAAACTTTGCAGATGGGTAACCAATTCTTTGCCATTTGTTTTAGCACATAAGGAAATCTTCCCTTTCCTCCATATTGCACCGGGGCTTTCAGGGTGGAAAAGCAATTGCTTATACTCCACAAATCCTTCATGAGGAAAGGATTGTGGTACTGGAATGTGTCCTGATCAGACTCCTCAGGGGGCTAGAGAACACTCCAGTTCCAGTAGGCTGCAATCTAAGAGTCAGTAAGTCACTTGCCCTGGTGGCCACCACATATAGAAATTCACCATTAAGGCTGGGTCCACTGTTCTCTGAGCTTAGTGGGAAAATTGCACAGAAAGGAGCCCTAAACAAGTAATTTCAAATAGTACTAAACTTGTGTTTCCAAAAATTTCTCATGTCTAATTCCTAAAATGTTGGCACATAAGAAGAAGAAAATTTCCCTTGCCTATCAGGCATAAACAGCTATTAATGAGTATACCCTTTTCTCTCCTCTTATCTGCTACCTCTCCTTGCATTACACTCTGTTTCTGTCTTACAGAACTGTGATAGTACCCAGCAGGGTTATCTCCTCATTGCCAATAGTCATGACTTCTGCTCCTGTGACTCTGTCTGCTTTTGCACACAGCACCTTTTCTCCACTGTAAGCCTTGCCTGTAATCTTCTGCTCATCTTTCCAGAGTCGGCTGAGGTCACATCCTCTAGAGGCGTTCCCAGGCTTTTCCCTCCCTAGGCTGTGTGAACCGCTCCACCTCTGGGTTCCCAATCACAGCACCTTATCAAGCAGCTTCACATGGCTCTTTCCCTCTAGACCCTAAACTCTTTAGGCAGAGACCACTTCTTAATTCATGTTTGTAATTTCACTGGTACATGGTAGATAATTTGCAAGTGTTGGTCTTCAGTTGAAAAAAATAAGCCATTTGACTTACCTTTGGGTTTTTGGACAGGGATTAGGATTACATGGATCCTTTGAGATGCATGATCCAAACTCGAACTGATGGTCTTGGAGACCCACACAGCGAGCAATGCAGGCACTGGGGTAAGTGCGTCCATTCTGTCCACACACCGGCACAAACTGATCTGCACAGTTACATGGCAGACCTGAAGAGAGGAGATTGCCTCAAAGACATGTACTTGTATGTTCCCCTTCCCCTCATATTTCCTAAAGGCAAATCAATAACAATCATGTGAAAGCTTCAGTTAGAAGAGAATTGTAAATTAAGTCAGAAAAAACTTCCCTCCAATCTCAGAAATGGGTTTTGTTTGTTTGTTTTTAAAGAGATAGGGTCTTACTCTGTTACCCAGACTGGAGTGCAGTGGTGTGATCTGAATTCATTGCAGCCTCAAACTCCTGGGTTAAATGATCTTTCCTCCTCAGGCTTCCAAGTAGCTAGGATTACAGGCATATGCCACTATGCTAGGATAAATTTTTTAAAAAAATTATGCAGATATGGGAGTCTCACTGTGTTTCCCGGGCTGGCTTCCAACTCTTGACCTCAAGCTCTGACAGGGTTTTTAAAGTCAACAACTTTCTGAAAAGTCCTTTGTCGACAAAATGGCTTTCCTTTTTCCTTTTTATCGCCAGCGAATTGAGGGTCTCCAGACATTGATCCCAGGTAGAGACCCCTATAAAAAAAGTTACAGGTAGGGGAAGTAAAGAATATTTCTCCAGATCTGGCATATAAAATCTAGACTTTGGATGTTTGAAGCCTGTCTTGGGAGATGTCTCAAATGTTACATTCAAGATATTTCCCAAGACAGGCTTCAAAAATAAGAAAGCAAAGGTTGTAAGCCCTTCACACAGTTTCCTTTCACTTTCTTCTTCTTTGGGGAAGGGGTAGAAGAAGAAGGTAACTTGGGAAATTATTGCAATTTTAAGACTTAAATTTTTAAATGAATATCTCCCTCTAAGTCATGTTTGGACTAAGATACTGAGTCCCAAGAAATGTGGTATACTTTTGGGCCAGTAAAATTTCCTTTGAGTTTGCTAGCTTGACAGTCATTGACCTAATTTATCCCAGGACATGAGGTGCCACACACTATAGAGAACAAGGGTCTTGCTAGTTGTAAAGCTCATCTTCCCAAAACATTATAAGATGTTTAAAAAAAAAGAGTCCCCCTTGTAAATCCTTAGGTCACTCTTCATTCCCATTTCCCCTCTATGGTTTCTTTAGGCAGAATGAGTTGTCCTAATTAAAGAAGGACAGATAAAAGATAATAATAATACCAAAGCAGTGAAGGCTGGTATTTATTAGGGTGGAGAGAGGATGGGGTGAGGGCAGTCTTTCTCTTCCCCACCAGTCTGCTATTAACTTCTTATTTCTGATCTCCTTTTTATTTCTGACAGGCTGGAGGTACAAGGTTGGTAAATCCTTACTCAGTTCTACTCCAGGGAAAGAAGAATCAAGTTGCCACTGCAACAGCATGAAATAGGGCAAGGGCAGTTACCTAGTACCTCTTTACTCAGAACCAAAGGTTTTTCAGATCTGGGAAAAAGCAGACACCAAGAGATACCAGCTACCAGCAGACTGTGCTGTTGCTGTTGACGACTACAGCTTCACAAGAAAAGAGCATCCCCTCTCACCAGCCTTTTCACTTACTGTAGCTGTGACAGCATAACAAAAGCAGCAAAGCATAGTAGTCAAGAAAGTAGTACTGTCGCACAGGATTGTTTGTGGGGGCCTAAATGAAGCAGTGAGCTAAGGAGGCTGAGGAAGGTGTTGAGAAACAAACCGAGAAACTAGATGGATATTTTTTAGACCACAATGGTAGGGGTAAGCAGGATATTTTACCAGGTAGAAAAGTTCAGTTAAATTAAAACTGTCCCAATCACTGGCATTGTTCTTTTTGACTCGAGGAATGATTCCAGGCTATTAGTGCTAGAAAGGCCCTAAGAAACCATTTAGTTTAATGCCTTCAATTCAGAGAGGACAAAACTGAGATCCAGAGAGGAAGGTATCTTCCTCAGGCTCTGGTTTATTTTACTGCATACATCTGTAGTTAAGGCTGCCTTGAAGGGAGGCTGCCTTGAAGGGAGAAAAGTGTGCAAAGGAATGATGGTCCCTGAGGACTGTGCCTCTGGATGACCATGGTCACCTGTGAAGGTACGGCGGTCATCTTCTGAACTGTGCTCGCTGAGGCAGAGGCGGGTAAAACATACCAAACTGCCAGCAAAACAAGAACAGACATTGCAGTCGATACTAAAGGACGTTCCATGACCTGAGATAAAGAGAAAGAAAATGTTGATCTATATCATGCATTGAGAAATAGAGCATGAATTAAAATTTTAATAGTTCAAAAGTTTACAAATGGAAATTCTTGAAAGATGACTTCTGAATATACAACCTAGTGAGCTAAATTTGTGAATATTTGTGAATATTTTCATATTTACCCCCCAGCATATTCCTCCAACTCCCTAAATTGCTGATGTTATGAAGCGGCTCCCTCTTCTCTAAGAATATTTCTGGCTGCCCTCTTTGCCTTGAATGCCTATCTTTCCAGAGACAGACCTGATGCTATCTTCAGATCAAAGACTTTCCCGATACCCTGGCAGCAATAACTAACTCCCAGAAGAGCTTTTGGACTGCCACTTTTTGTGGCTCAAATTCTCTCCCATCTTAACATGTAAAGTGTGATCCTCCATCCCAGTTTCAGTTCCCCAAGGCACTAGTATTTGTACAGAATAAGCATTTAGTTAATGAAAGTTTATAGAAGGAATGAATTTGTCCTCAGATATTTTCTGTGATACCTACCTTCACATTTTAGCCAAGTAGAATGTGGATGAATTCTACTTGGAATGTGGAAACAAACACCTGACTTGCTCCAAGGAAGACATTCATGAGCTCTTTTTAGCCAAGAACACTCTTCTTTCTAATCAGATCTCACACAGAAGAGTAAACCAAAAAGCACATCAAAGCAGAACTACTATGGTTGAAGGAGTGGGGGGATGGAGGTGGGATGGAGTAGCTGAGTTAGCAGGTGGTGAGGGAGCACATTCTCAAAAGTAGTGTTTTTTCACAACTGTTTGAAGGTCAAATATTTACATGAACAGTCATTAGGACTATCAGCAAAAGATGGATAAGGAAGCAGTGAGAAGGTAAGACCCTATGATTTTTAGGGAAGGTGGTCAAGGTGGTGACACTTTTAAATGGGCTCTTTCCAAACCCCTAACCAGCGTAGGTGCTGTCCCCATTTGCTTTCCATGATGTCAACATCTGAGTTTCACTTCTGGTGAAGTAAGGGTGAGGTATAACTGAGAAAGGGTTAGAGAAAGGATATCTGTGTCCTTGCCTGTGAAGGGTAAGGGCTTTGGAGTCAAATAGATCTGAGGCTAAATCCTGCTTTGGTCACTTACTGGCTAGGTGACCTTTTTAAGCACCAGTTTCCTTATCTATGTAGAAGGGATAATAATACCTATATCTAAGAGTAACTTGGAGCATTGTGCTTAGCACAGGACTGAAATTCAATTAGTATTCATTAGTATTATTAGCTGTTAGCCCCTTCTTGAGGGGACTTCTAAAATATTTCCTTAGAAGTTCTAGCACTTGGTATAGTTTGAAAAATACTGCCCTGGAGTATCTGATTTGCAGACTTTAGTCTTTGGCAAGAATCTATCCAATGTTCTTCCTACAAAGTAAAGATAACTGATCTCATATAAAACAAAACAAAACAAAACAAAACAAAAACAAATACACCTCAAGACTCACTTTTTCTTTTTCCTCCAACAATACAGGACTTCTGCAGGTCTATACAGTGCATCTCCATACAGTTTTCTAAAAGTCCACTTTGTCCACATGAACAGATTTTATAACAACCAACTTCCCCTGCAGATGATGGCACCTGGATTAGTGTCCCTTGACGGACAATGAAATCAGAAGCTTCTCCCAATTTGCAACCTGCACAAACAAAAATTAGCAGAGATGGTATTGTTCTATGACACTGTTTATGACATTAGATATATGCTTTTCGAAAGTCTTGTAGATATGATATAGCTATTTAAGATTACATAATAGAACTTTCACCAAATTAAGGAATTGCTTTGGTTCATTGGTCAAAAATATATCCTCTCAAATGAAAATTCCATTTTCTGAGGGATGATGGTGACTAAGGACATGTACCCTAATGTTACCTATAGTTCAGTACAAAAATGCTAAGAAATGTAGTTTTTTATTTCTTTGGGCTAATCAAAGATATTTTTAAAAATCACAGATATTTTAAAAATGGAGTATGACAACTGACAGTATTTTTAGAATAATCTTGGTCAGAAAAACTTTTAGGGATGGGATATAAGAATACCTTAAATTCAAAGAAAAACTGAATATTTGCACGGGCTTAAGGGAAACATATTTTATTTTTTTATTTTTTTTTGAGTTGGAGTCTCGCTCTGTTGCCCTGACTGGAGTGCAGTGGCCGCTCCCGGCCACTGCAGTCTTGACCTGCTGGGCTCTGGCGATCCTTCTGCCTCAGTCTTCCGAGTAGTTGGAATTACAGGCATGCGCTACCACGCCTGGCTGATTTTTTGATTTATTGTAGAGATGAGGTCTCACCAAGTTGCCCAGGCGGGTCTAGAACCCGCGGGCTCAGGCAATCCACTCACCTCAGCCTCCCAAAGCCCAGGATTACGAGCCACCGAGCCCGGCTGGGAAACACATTTTCTATCTTATACATCCTATCTTATCACAAGATGGGTGTTCTGAGTTTGACAAAGCAAGATCATTCTGAATTGAGTTCCATATTTAAATAATATGGAATACAAATATCACCACTTTAAATAACTATGTTTATTTTTGTGCTGAAGAAAAAAAAATTTTTTTTAATTTGAAGAGATTTTGTTGTGCTGCCCAGGTTGGAGTACAGCGGCAAGGTCATAGCTCACTTCAGCACTGAACTCCTAGGCTCAAGCAATCTTCTTGCCTCAGCCTCCCAAGTAGCTGGGATGACTGACCTGAGTCACCATACTTGGCCCAAATAAAATCTTGACCAAATTATAATATAAAGATAAATGGAAAATACTATCTTGAAATTTAAAACAGCCGCCCAACATTTCCAATTTTAATAAGACTTATTATGATCTACAGTTGGTGTGTTATGGTATTACACAAATACTATAGATGATCCTTGAGATACCATGCTTATTTAATCCTTTGCTTCATTTTACTTTAACAATATATTTATTTATTAATTTATTTTAGCTGGGGTCTCACTTTGTTGCCAAGGCTGGAGTACAGTGGCACAATCATGGCTCACTGCAGCCCTGACTTCCTGGACTCAGGCAATCCTTCCACCTAGCCTCTCAAGTAGCTGGAGCTACAGGCGTGTGTTACGATGTCTGGCTAATTTTTTGATTTTTATTTTGGTAGAGATGAGGTGATACTATATTGCCAAAGTTGGTCTTGAACTCCTGGGCTCAAATGATTCCCCTGCTTCGGCCTCCCAGAGTGCTGGGATTACAGGTGTGAGCCACTGTGTCCAGCCATAAAGATATTTTAAAATGTCGATACGGACATAATAAAGGAATATTTTCACTTGGGAGATAGATAAAAAGAAGCACAGTGTTGCCATGACTATATTCTTTTTTTTTTTTAAGCAGGATTTATTGAGAGGACAGAAAAGCTCCCACAGCTGGAGGGGACCTGAAGGGATTGCCCAACTATATTCTTAAGGGACTGACAGAAAGATAAAGACTATCACAATTCTATGAGATAAAAATCTTCTGGCTTTAAAATCAAATGCATTTCAACATAACATTAATCTTTATAGAGATCTCAATACATCTTTTTGACTATGCCATTTCGCTGTGTGCTAAAGGAAAGAAACAATCATGAACAATGTATATTTTCTCAAACATTACAACATGGAAAAGAAAGTACAAAAAGCTGGTCCAAACTTCTCTTTTCTTTTGTAGCCAAGAACCCTATAACTTATTATGACAGTCAAGCTTTGGATTGATATTATTAGTTTATAATCTAAATGACAATTGAAAATTACATGTGTCTTTGTCTTCTGCTTTCATAAACAATACACGGGAAAACCTCAAACAAAGAAAAACTCAATATGGAAAATGAAGTTTCTTATAAACATCACTCCAAAGAGAACCCTTATAAAGAAACACCAGCTGTGTCTATCCATACTTCCCCCCGCGCCCACACCTGCCTACCTCTTACCTTGAACACAAGAGTAAGGAAGACAGGGATCTCCAGATGGACATCCTTTCCGGTTCACTTCACAGAGCTCATTGGCAGGGCAAGGATTTGGATTACAAGGATGGGTCACTTCTTCAATGATGTTACCTAAAGTACTTGGCCCTGAAAAAACCAAAACAGATTAGTTTAACCAACCTAAATGAATTAGAGTTAACAGAGGTTAATTATCTGAATTACTTATGGCTGGAATAAATGAAGAGCTCATGAGCATAAAGCAAGGTCTGATCCTAATAAGCTATTAAAACACTCACGTTATCTCATTTGTGAATTTAGTATAAACATACACACATTCATTTATTTGTTTATGAATTGGGTACCTACAATATGCTGGACAAGGTCCTAGCTGATACCACTGTCTGCCCTTCCAGCCAGCGCATGGCACTTATGCCCCCTGGTGGCAGCCTGAACACCTCCTTTATCCTAACTATTGAGCTTAGAGGAGTTCTTAGCATTCCCTGGTTTCTACCACCAAGAAGCTCAGCTCCAGCTCATCCCTCAATGAGATATCAACATACTCTTCTAGTATTTGGCAGAGAGAAGCCAAAGCAGTGAGATAAGCTCCATTTTCATGTACTAACCCAGACGGTCATTCTTTACATTCTATTGGTTGATTAAGTCCAAGCCAATGTTTGGCTGAGGTCCACTGATACCCAAAAATCTGAATACTCCCTGGGAGAAATTCCACTTTCTGGTCTTGCTATGGCAAGGAGATAGCAATTAGGGCTGATTATCTGAGAATGCTGGCCTTCTGATTCTTGCTTAGAATTCCTGATCGACAACAGTTCATACTTCCTCGGACTGATATAACAATCACTTCTGTTTACATATTTTATGATGACAAGTCTTTCCTGGGCCAGAAAGGCCAAACAAGTAAGATAAGAGTCTGTGATTGAGATGGTATCATTGAACCACATATTCTTAACAGATAGATGCCCATCCAAAACCAGCAGTAAGGATAGAGACAGAAGAGAGAAGTATCTGAAATCTAAACAAAGTACTTACTGAGGTATGTATCCAAAGGTATACAATTCTCCAGGTCATCTGTAGGTGACAGAAGCTCACAGATACTTTCAGCTGTGTGGTCTTCAGGAAATCTGTTCTGGTCTCCACATGTTTTGAGAATCTCCACACAATCTGACCTTGAAAGGAAAAATGAATTCACATGAATAGGGCTCAAAGAACCTCTTCATGTTGTCTAGTCAATGTCACTTCTGTTTCTGAGGCTTTCCAGAAAGTGAGTTTTCATAACTTAACAATGTTTCATAATTGGCTAGGTTAAGTATGGCACAAGTGAACAGACATCATAGTGGATTTTAGGCTGAATAGCAAATTCAAGGCATCCCTAACTTCTCTTATTTGAGATCAAAGGCCTTGCTCAAATGTTGTATATGCTTCTACTTACTCTTACTACCATCACTGTGACTTTTCACTGTCTTTGAAAGGAAATTAAATTAAGCTAGTATGATTTGCTCTTTGCCAAATCATATATCCTTACTTGTTTGTTTGCATGCTTCCTACATCCATCTCTTCCTTCCTTTTTCTTTTAAAATATCTTTTTAGTTATCAACATTAGTGTTTGGCCTATAACAACTGGAAAGTCCACTACTTCAAGATGTTCTTAGTCTTCAGCAGGGACTTAACTCCTATAAGTTGTCTGTGCTAAGATTCTACACATCTCCTACTCATGTTCTCTTGCTTGTCACCCAAGCAACAATACCTCAGTTTCTCCCCTACTCAAGTCATGCCCAAGTCATGGCAGAGAACAGGTCTGGACTCTACTTAAGGTTGAAATGATCTGAAATAAGTCATCAAGTACCTAGCAGCACTGAGTCACAGTGCTTCATCCCATCACAGCTCCTATCTTTACTTTACCCTAGATTTCCTAAGCAAACTATTCAAAACTGTTTACTAGGAACAGTTCTTAATGACTGTATTTACTAACTCCTTCACTCAGCAAACACTTAAGGAATACCTACTGTCAGGATTATGCTAATACCTGAAGAGGAGAAATAGAGGAAAGGGGATAAAAGAAAAATGGCACAAAGAACAACAAACTCCTTAAGAAGAACAAAGTCTAACAGAATATAAAATAAGTACACAAGTTAAAATATAAAAGTAGAGTTATATGTCAAAAGTATTTAATAACTGTTTCTTGAATAAGTTCCATAGAGCAGTTCAAATAAAGATCTGCAGGAATTTGCAGTAACGATAAATTACTATTAACTGGGGGAAATCTGGGAAGACTACAGGAAAGTCTGGTATTGGAGAGGAGACAAGTGGGGATGGGGGAAACAATATTTCAAGTGCAGCAGGAAAACGTGGGCAATCATTTGACATGGGGAGGTGACAGGCAGAGGAAAGTAGCGGGAGAGAAAAGTCTAAAGAGAGGCTCTGGGTAGAGATCATGAAGCCCTGAACCCAAACTGGAGAATCATTATGATGAAAGAAACTTACTTGCAAATAATACTTCCCCGGGATTTACTATGACAAGGTTTTATTTGCAGTGAACATGCTATTGCTTTCCACATTTCTGGCTGGCACTTTTTAATATCAAGAACAGGTATGTTGATAAACGGCATCTTTATGCTTCCTTTCTCCCACAGCTTCATGTCATTCATGGCTCCTTGATCCGATTGAGCATTACAACTCCTGAAAAGTTCTGTTGGCCTAAAGAGAAAAAAGGCCCGGAGGAATCAAGAGGCAATTATTTTCTAGAGAGAAGCAATGAGTAAAAACCTAACATACTACTGCATCAGGAAAATATGATTTTCTTAAGGAAGAAAACACATACAACCCATCAAAGGACATCAGCTTTGTGTATATGAAGATTCAATATAGATACTAGCATTAAGACACTGATTGCATGTTTTTTTTGGACACAGATTTTTGTGAGGCAGTTTAAAACTTCAAAATGCTCTGGATAAGAACATTATCTCAGTCCCGTTTCATTTCACAAAATAAATACTACGGGTCCAAGTTTTTAAAATTTTTATTTGTTTGTTGGTTTATTTATGTTTGAGTTGGAGTCTCACTCTTGTTGCCCAGACTGGAGTGCAGCGGCACGCTCACGGCCACTGCAGCCTCCACCTGCTGGGCTTAGGTGATCATTCTGCCTTGGCCTTCCAAGTAGCCGGAACTACAGGTGTGCACCACCACACCAAACTACTTTTTAAATTTCACAGAGTGAGACTCTGACTCAAAAAAGCAAAAACAAAAACAAAAAATAAAAAACCTCCTTTTTGGAATGTTTTATACTTTCCACAGAACAGACACTAAAATAACCTGTTATACAATTAGTTACACAGTCCTCGAGTGTTTTTCCCATACACATGAGTGTTGTCTAAAACATGTCTTTTTTGTAGCAGCTAGGCTCTGCCACCACTGTGTTTGGCTGAGTTCACAAGTCTATTGTAAACTATAGCTTCCCTTTCTTTTTTTTTTTGAGTTGGAGTCTCACTCTGTCGCCCATTCTGGAGTGCAGTGGCCGCTCCCGGCCACCGCAGCCTCGACCTGCTGGGCTCTGGCGATCCTTCTGCCTCAGCCTTCCGAGTAGCCAGAATTACAGGCATGCGCTACCACACCCGGCTGATTTTTTGATTTATTGTAGAGATGAGGTCTCGCCAAGTTGCCCAGGCGGGTCTCGAACCCGTGGGCTCAGGCAATCCACTCACCTCAGCCTCCCAATGTGCAGGATTACAGGCTGAGCCACCGAGCCCGGCTTGTAGCTTCCCTTTCACTTCTCTAGCTCTCCTCCCTGTTAAGCTTTGCTTCCTGGCAGTAATTAAAATCTGCCACTGCTGCTATTGGAAACATCATAGTCATCTTGGTTTCGTGGTTTGGCAAGCTACTGGCCTCCACCACCACAGGGACCAGTTTCTGCCTCCAAAGTTTCTCTTATTCATAGGCTCAAAATTTGAAGACCGATTGTGTAATTGCCAAACTCACTGTAGCTTCCACCACCTCTGAAATTGTTGCCATCATTACCAAATCCATTATAGCCATCCCCACTGCCACCACATCCATCACCACGACTGCCACCAAAGCCACCATGACCACTAGTTTCTTCCGGGACCAAAGTTGTCATTCCACCAAACCACCTCCATGACCACCACCAAAGTTTCCAGAACCACTTTGACCTCTTTGGCTAGAAGAGGCACTAGCCATCTCTTGCTTCCACAGGGCTTTCCTTACTTTACAGTTGTGAAGTATAGCACTTTTGAATGACAGTTTTATCCACGGAATTATGGATGTCAAAGGTTACGAAGGTAAAGCCCCTTTTCTTGCCACTGCCTGTCAGTCATGATTTCAATCACTTCAATTTTCCTATATTGTATTGTTCAAAATAGTCTCTTGGGTGATGTTCTTCCATGTCTTATTTAATGCCACCAACAAATATCTTTTTCACAGTAATGAGGGTGCCTAATCTTTGACAATCTTCTCTTGAGACAGCTCTCTTTGATTCCACAACTCTCCCATCTACCTTGTGTGGCTTCGCATTCATGGCTGCATCCACCTCCTCCACAGTGGCATATGTGACAAAACCAAAGCCCTGAAGCATTTGGAGTTCAGATCTCTCATTACCACTCAGTCTGTTAACATTAACATTCCCCATTGCTCAAAACGGCTCCTCAGGCTCTTGTCGGTGGTATTGAAGCTCAGTTCTCTGATGAAGAGCTTCTGCAGCTGTTTGGGCTCCTTAGCGGACTCTTAGACATGATGGCTGCGGGGAGAGAGACTTTAACAATGCTTCCTCGGCAATGTACAAGGGCAGAGGAGTAAGGCCATATTGTATGGCATTCTTTTGGGTCTGGGATTTTTAGCCAAACATAGTCTTTTAAAAAATATTTATTTTCTTTTTTCCCCCTTTCTCTCACACAAACATGCACGCACATACCGCCAAACATAATCTTTTTGAGATGCATACATGTGTATAGAAACAGTTTGTTTCTTTTTATTGGTGAATAGTATTCCATTAATAAACAAACTACAATTTATTTGTCCCAGAGGTTCTCAGATTTTTAAGTTCAGAACCCATTTACATTTAAAATTATTCTCAAAAAGCTTTTGTTTATGTGAGTTATATCCATCAATGTTTACTACATTAGAAATTAAAATAGAGCCAGGCATGAAGGTATGTGCCTTTAGTCCCAGATACCTGGAAGGCTGAGGCAGGAAGATTACTTGAGCCCAGGAGTTTGAGGACAGCCTGAGCAACATAGCGAGACCCTATCTCAAAAAAATAAATAAAACAGATTTTAAAAGTAGTTATTAATTTAAAGTATAATAAACCCATTACACGTTAATGTAAACATTATTTTTATAACTATAGTTTATAGTTTATAGAAAATAACTATAGTTTCCAAAGCAAACATCAGTGAGAAGAGTAGGATTATTTTACAGTTTTGCAAAATCTCTTTAATGTCTGGCTTAATAGAAAACAGTTGAATTTTCACATCTGCTTCTGCATTCAGTCTGTTGCTATATCACATATATAACAACCCCGTTGTTCACCTTGTGACAGTGACAGTGAAAAAGGCAAATAATATCATAGTATTATTATAAAAATAGTTTTGCTCTCAGGGACTCCCTGAAGGAATACAGGGGCAATGGACCACACTTTGAGAAATGTTGATTTATCCATTTACCTGTTTATGGGCATTAAGGTTATTGCCAGTTTTCAAGCCCAGGAATAGCATTGTTAGGCCATAGAGTAGGTTTAACTTTCTAAGAAGCCACCAGACTGTATTCCAAGGTGGTTATACCATTTTACGCTCTCACCAGCAATGTGTGAACATTCCAGTTGCTTTACATGCTTGTCAGTCTTTTTAGTTGGAGCCATTCTCTTAGTGTATAGTGGTATTTATCGGTTTTAATTTGCATTTCACTCATGATCATGATGTTGAGTACCTTTTCATGTAATTACTGGTCACTCAAATATCTTCTTTGGTGAAATATATTTCTAGCTATTTGCCCTTGGAAAAAAAATTGAGCTTTTGAAAATTATTGAATTGTAAGAGTTTGTTATATATTCTAGACATAAGTCCTTTGCCAAATGTGTGTGTGTATGTATGCATGCACCTGTGCATGATATATTGTGCATTTTCTTCTTAGTTTGTGGCTTGCCCTTTCAAGTTTTAAATGGTATCTTTTGGTGAACAAAAGTTTTCTTTTTTCGTTTGAGAGACAGGGTCTTGCTCTGTTGCCTAGGCTTGAGTGCAGTGGCACAATCACAGCTCACTGCAGACTCAAACTCCTGCCTCAGTCTTCCAAGTAGCTAGGACTACAGGTGTACATCACCATGGCTAGCTAACTTTTTAATTTTTTGTAGAGATGTAGTCTTGCTAGATTGCCTGGGCTGAGAACAAAATTTTTTATTGTTGAAATCTAATTTACTAATTTTTTTCTTTTCTAATAGCAATTTTTTCCCACACCAAGGTTTTGAATATATTTTCCTATGTTTTCTTCTAGAAACTCTAAATTTTTAGCTTTTTTGTTTAGTTCTATGATCCAAAATTGAAGTAATTTTTGTCTATGGTGTGAGATAGAGGTTGAGGTCTGTTTTCATGCAGATATTCAATTATTCTATAATCATTTGTTAAAAAAGATTTTTTTTTTTTTTTTTTTGGAGTGGGAGTCTCACTCTGTTGTCCAGACTGGAGTGCAGTGGCACGCTCACAGTCACTGCAGCCTCGACCTGCTGGGCTCAGGCAATCCTTCCACTTCAGTCTTTCAAGTAGCTGGAACTATAGGAGTACGCTACCACACCCAGGTTATTGTTTATTTATTGTAGAGACAAGGTCTCACCAAGTTGCCCAGGCTGGTCTGAACCCCTGAGCTCAGGCAATCCAATCCTCTTGGCTCCACCTCCCAAAGTGCTGGGATTACAGACTTAAGTCACCCACCGCGCCTGACTAAAGGTTTTTCTTTTTTGCATTGAATTGTCTTGCTGCCCTTGTTGAAAACCAATTTACTATATGTGAGGGACTATTTTTTATTTTGTCCTATAGATCTTATTTGTACAAATTTATGCCAATATTATATTGTTTTACTTTCTGTTGCTTTATAATATATCTTGAAACCAGGTACTCCAAATTTTTTCTTCATTTTCAATTTTCTCCCTTTTCAAAATTGTTTTAGCTACCCTAGGTCTTTTTATTTTCATATTTATTTTAGAATTAGCCTGGCAATTTCTATTTTAAATTGCACTAAATCTAGAGAACAGTTTTGGAAGAATTTATATCTTAATATTATTGAATCATCCAATCCATGAACATGGTATCTCTCTCCATTTATTTGTCTTTTTTTTGAGTTGTAGTCTCACTCCGTTGCCCAGACTGGAGTGCAGTGGCATGCTCATGGCCACCCCAGCATCGACCTGCTGTACTCTGGTGATCCTTCCATCTCAGCCTTCCAAGTACCTGGAACTACATGCGTGTGCTATCATGCATGGCTAATTTTTTTTTTTTAATTTATCATAGAGATGAGCTCTGGCTAAGTTGCCTGGGCTGGTCTCGAACCCATGGGCCAACCACTTGCCTCAGCCTCCCAAATTGCTGGGATTACAGGGTGAGCCACTGAGCCCAGTCTATTTGTCATTTTTAATCTCTCTCTGCAAAGTTTTCTAGCTTTCAGAATAGAGTTCTTACATACCTTTTGTTACATTTATCCCCAAGTTGTTCATGCTTTTTTATGCAATTGTGTAAATTAATATTGTTTTGCAAATTTCATTGTCCAATTGTTTTTTGCTAATATACAGAAATACATTTGGCTTTTGTATGTTAACCTTGTATCATATGACTTTGCTAAATTCATTTATTAGTTTTTTCTTTCTAACCTTTTCCTAGCCTTTCTGCCATTTATTTTTATTGCCTTATTGTGCAAGATAGGAAGTCTAGTAAATGTTAAACAGAAGTAATGAGAATGGTCATTTTAATCCTGTTTCCTATCTTAGGAGAGAAGTTTTCAAGGTTTCACCTTCCTTTTTTTTTTTTAAGAGATAGAGTCTTGCTCTGTCATATAGGCTAGAGTGCAGTGGTGTGATCCTAGCTTACCACAGCCTGAAACTCTTGCGCTCAAGTGATTTTTCCATTTCAGCCTGTAATCCCAGCACTTTGGGAGGTGGAGGCGAAAGGATTACCTGAGTCCATGGGTTTGAGACCAGTCTGGGCAACATGGCGAGACCTTGTCTCTATAATAAATCAAAAAATTAGCTGGGTGTGGTAGCGTGTGCCTGTAGTTCCTGCTACTTGGAAGGTTAAGGTGGAAGGATAGTCTGAGCCTAGCAGGTCGAGGCTATGGTGGCCGTGAGCATGCCTCTGTACTCCAGCCTGGGTGACAGAGTGAGACTCCTACTCAAAAAATAAACAAGAAAAACCCCCAAAGGAACCCCAATTTTTTTGTAGAGATGAGGTCTCGCTCCATTGCCTAGGCTTGTCTAGAGCTCCTGGCCTCAAGCGATCCTCCTGCCTCAGACTCTTGAAGTGCTGGTATTACAAGCATAAGCAAACATACCTGTTTTGTGTTTTTTTTTGTTTTTGTAGAGATGGGGGGGTGGTTGTACTATGTTGCCCAGACTGGTCTTGAACTCCTGGTCTCAAGTGATCTTCCTGTCTTAGCCTCCTAAAGTGTTCAGATTACAGGCATGAGCCACAGTGCCCAGCCAGGTTTTACCATTATGATGTGAGTTCTAGGTTTTTCATAGATGCCCTTTGTTAGATTGGGGACTTTCCAAAATATTCTAGTTTGCCAAGAATTTTAAAATCCTGAATGGGGGTTGAATTTTGTCAAATGCATATTTTCTGTATCTACTAAAGTGCTTACAAGGTTTTCCTTTATTCTGTTCATCTAGTATGCTGCATCGATTGACTTTATAATGTTGAACCAACTTTGCATTTGTGGAATAAAGTTTTTTGTTTTTTTTTTTGAGTTGAAGTCTCACTCTGTTGCCCAGGCTGGAGGGCAGTGGCACACTCACGGCCACTGCAGCCTCAACCTGCTGGGCTCAGGCAATCCTTCTGCCTTAGCCTTCCAAGTAACTGGAACTACAGACATGTGCCACACGCCCAGCTAATTTTTTTATTTATTGTAGAGATGAGGTCTTGCCAAGTTTCCCAGGCTGGTCTCGAATTCGTGGGCTCAGGCAATCCTCTCACCTTGGCCTCCCAAAGTACTGGGATTATAGGTGTGAGTTACCGTACCTAACCTGTCTGGAATAAACTTTAACTAGTTGTATTATCCTTTTTACATATTACTGATCCTAAACTCTGATATCTGTAACTCCTTAGCCCAAGACTGCTGCTTTCTGCTTGAACTCTATTCCCCATGAAAGGAGACTAAGAGTGCCCCTTAGGAAAAAGTGAATAAATGTGGACAGAAATGTGTGGTTTCTGTCTTTCAAGAGCTGTAGACTCTCTTGCTTTTGATCACGCTCCAGTGCCTTCAAAACAATTGTGTTTTTATATTTTGTATAGAGCTAATAATTGGTATTGGCAGGGGTGATATTCTGATACAAGCTACTTCACCATTACCAGAAGCCAGAACTGTGTGCCCAAGTTTAACCTCAAACGCTTCATATTTACTCAATCTCTAAGCCATGTCTTTAGTGACTAACACTATCACCACTTGTAAAGATGTCATAAGTTTACTCAAAGTAGTACTCTGAATACTTTTAAAAGGATAGGCTGTGTGTCCACTTGACATAAACATCATTTGGCAAGATTCTCTAGAACTTACTTCTGGCCCAACTGAGAGATTCTCTTCCCTTTTGATCTCTGGGCTGCAGGTGACAAAATCAGCCACCTCTTTAATAACTCTCTCTCTTGCTCCTACATGGAGTTCTCTCATTTTGTGTTTTTGGCTGTTTTTTAACTTTTATTTTTCTGTTTTATTCACTGTTTCTTCAGCCATTGACTATGGCTATATATGGGGGGCCTCAGTTCTTGGCCCCTTATTTTTCCTTACTATACTTCATACCTCAGGAAAACATTTATGTGAATTGCTTCTGTAAAGAAATATTTTTGTAGGCGTTCAAGAGCAGTCTGGGCAACATAGTGAGACCTTGTCTCTACAAAAAATAAAAAAAATTAGCTGGGCATGGTGGCATGCCTGTAGTTCCAGCTACTTCAGAGGCTGAGATGGGAGGCTTAAGCCCAGGAATTCAAGGTTGCAGTGATGGTGCCATTATACTCCAGCCTCAGAGACACTGACTGGAAAAAAAAAAAAAAAGAAATATTTTTTGAATGGGGTTTCTAAGCAGAAACCTCAACCAGTCTGAAGGGCTTTTAAGTACACTATCCACAGGTGAACATTTGGATGACCAAATAGTTCATAATGATTTATTCTACAATGAATTATTTCCACTAGTGGTACAATAAAAGGGAGAGGGAACTGAAGGCAGAAGAGCTTCTCTGAATTCCAGAAGCTTGCGGTATCTCTAGATTGGAAGAGAATTTGTAATCGTGGTTCCTTTCCCAGAGGTGACTTACCAGATGGAATAGCATTTAAAATAAAATTATGAAGAAATATGACTTTCTTTTAACCCAACAGAAACAAAATCATAGTAAAATGGTATTTTCACTTATTAAAAAACAAGATAATGATAAAGTATTCCAATTCTATGTAAAATAACTTGTTCCTACCTGTTGTTAAAATTAGTACAGTAAGTAAGGTTTCTACAGCCCAACTGGCAAGGTTCCCGGACATCTGCTAAACAGGTCAACATGGACACTTCCACTGGATTATATTCACAAAAACGATCAAACTCTTGCCAACTCTGTGTATTGCCCCAGCTCATGCTATAAAGTTTAGTGCAGAGTTCCCTGAAACAAGAGCACAAATGCAAATATAGAGATGAGCCAAATGAATAAATATTTGATTTGCATAAACTAACAGTCTATGAACTATATACTTTGGAATGTAAATGAGAAACAAGTACAAAAACAAATGACTATTTCCTGCAATTTAGAGCCAGAAAGGTGATTTTTTTTCCCATAAAAAAACAGGCCTCCCTCTCTTCCATTTTTGCCAAAATTGCTAAAAATCCTAGGGCTAAATTTAATGTTCAGTAATAGTATTTGTACATCCTTAGTTCTTGGCACAATTATTTCCCCCTATATCTTTCTGATTTCTTTTTTACTTTTCTTAAGGTAAAGTACACGGTTTACCTTCAGAGATATATTCTTATGCTTAGATTTCTTTTAAAAGGCACTTAGAGTGTACTAGTTTATACCTAAAAAACTATACCAAAGCCACTAATATTTCTTAAGATATTCCAAAGCCTCTGTATACTATTATAGTTAATTCAGGACATTCTTCTTTTTAGAACTCATTGATTACAAAGCAACTTAAGTATATGTATGTAGCTAAAATATCTGTGTTATTTCTAAAGTGCTTTCACACATTATATGCATTAGTTTAATTTTTTATTTATAAAAGATATGTTAAATATATAATAACAATTTCATACTGAAATACACAGTTACAAGTGAAAATTCTCCACTCTCTTCACACATTATTTGACTCTCATAATTACCCCATGAGGAGGGTATTTTACTTGCACATTTGTTCATTCAGTCCACTGAGTGTCTATCTTGTGTGAGGTCCTGTATAAAGTACTGGAAATGCAGTGGTGAATAAAACAGGTAAGGTGTCTGCTCCCACTGAAGCTCACACATTATGAGGATGAGGAAGTTGGGGTCAAGTTACATCAGGTAGTTTGATCTAGAAACCTGTCCTTCTTATAGCCCTTAACTTTCTATATCCCACATCTGAACTGCTTGGGGCCAGAATTTTGGAATTTTTTTTGGGGGGTGGGGAAGTCTGCATATACCTAAACAGATATTTGGGGATAGGACCCAAGTCTAAACACAAGATTCACTTATGTTATACCTTATACACATAGCTGAAGGTAATTTTATTTATTATTATTATTTTTGAGACGAAGTCTCACTCTATCACTCAGGTTGGAGTGCAATGGCACACTCACAGGCTCAAGTGATACTTCCATCTCAGCCATCCAAGTAGCTGGAACCACAGGCATGCACCACCACACCCAGCTAATTCTTGATTTATTATAGAGATGAGGTCTTGCCAAGTTGCCCAGGCCAGTCTTGAACCCCTGAGCTCAGACAATCCTCTTGCCTCTGCCTCCCACAGTGCTGGGATTATAGGTGTGAGCCACCATGCCCAGCAATTTTATATACTATTTTAAAGAATTTTGTGCATGAAACAGTCTTGACTGTGTTTTGACAGTGAATTCTCACATAAGGTCAGGTGTGAAATTTTCTACTAGTAGTGTCATGCCAGAGCTCAAAAAGTTTTGGATTTTGGAGCATTTCAAAGTTCAGATTTTAGGACTAGTGATGCTCAAGTGATATTTACCTTTGGCAGATTATTTAACATTTCTGAGTTAGGTTATTAAATGTGAAACAAAAATTTCCCCAATTTTCTCTTAAAGTTTCATGAAGATTAAATCTTCATGGAAATGAAAGCACTCAGAAAGCTAAAACTATAGAACCCTGTATCAAGGTAAGAGAGAGGAAAAAGCACATCTTACTGAGGCTCTTCTGGGACTATGTAGCCATTTCAATCTCTAACGACTCAATGTAGGCATAAACTCTTGTAGGCATTCAAAGAACAACCTAGCATCCCCTCATAAATACAATTATTAACTTCTATAAGCAATCTAGTTTCCTTAATTACAGGGTCAATTTATTTTCCCTTTAAGCCCTTTTGCTAATTTTCTTCTGATACTTTTCAGACTTTTCATATCTTTTAAAAAATTTATCAGTTTGATGGGCGATTCTAGGGGCAATTTTTTGTTAATGGCCCATCCAATTTAGAAACCACAGGAGAGATTGTTTTACTCCTGGAATCTCAGATGTATTTCAGGATATTCTAGTGACATGTGGTCCGTTTATACCCCAAACATCTCTAATAAAGCAAACTTCTGTTCCACCTGTGTTCTTGCATAATCTTAGTTATCTTCATTTGTTCTTGTCCCTAGATTGTTTCCTCTACGGTATATTTGCATTGTTAATTTTTTATCTCAAGTGTATCACTCAGATGAATGCCAATACACTGCCAACTTTGGTTATAAGTGCTAACCCAGATTATTCACCAATATAACACAAGGTTGATAAAGTTCAAAGTTTCATAATTTTATAAAGAGAATATCCCTTAGTTGTCAAATCTAAATTGTAAGCTTACTTAATGATCTCTGTGAAGGTAGAATTCATATTGCATCATCTTCAAATACTTATTGTCCTGTCAATGTTAATCTTCCACACCCCAAACATGGTGCTTTTGGCACTCAATACAAAACATTGTTTTGTACACATTACATGATGCTCAATAAATATTTGCTGGATGAAAAATCTGATACCTTCTGAACACTAAACCTATACCATACAAGAATATAACACACATTTCCCAGTTTTAAAATCATCAATTAAAATGTCATTTTCTACTGATTTTAATAAAGGAAAACAAAATACTGACCTACACGTTGAAGTGTTTGCTTTAGAACAACAATGCAATTTAGCCCCATCAAGGCCAGTAGAGGGAGGAGGGTGTACAGTGACTCCAGGGTGAACAGACTGTGAGCTTTCAAGAAAACACTGCCAAAGAGGATCTTGAGGCAAGGGCTGGGTCTTACAGCCCTCGATGAGACCATCAACAATCTCCATTTCTGTTTTCTTAGACATCAGAATTCTCTTGCAGGCATTTTGGCAAGCATGGTCTTCAGCTCTGTCACAGCAATATAAACCTATATTTTCAGAATGTAAGTGGCTTAATTAGCTGGGGTTTTTTGTTTTGTTTTTAAAATTAGGGTCTGCTCAGAACAACATGGCAGCACAGTGGAAACCATTACTACTGCTAGTTATATGTCAGTACAGCATCTGCAGAACACAGGACCTACCAAATTCTCTCTCCGTTACTTCGCAGTATAGCAAAAAGGTGAGGAGTTAAAGGAGACATGGTATCTATAACCAGAATACACCATTGTTCCCACAAATGGGATCTCTAGCACCATCCTCACAAAATGAAAGGCCATACTACACCTAAGAAGTGCTCACAGGAAAGATATTTTAGGTTTCTGGAAAAGGTACTGTAGATACCTGGAATTATTTCTGGAACTGGAATTATTTCCCGCTAGATAGAAACAACTACTTAGAAGGGATTATGTTTTTAACATGAGAGAAATGACTAATTCTCTTTTTTCTTTTTTTATATATCTGTATAAGTTAATTAATCTAAGTTGCAATTTAAATAATACAATAGCAAACTGACAAGATTATCAGTTTGCTTCTGCCTTTAATTTTTGCAAAGAAATAGAAAATGAAAAAACACTTTCAACCAGACTACAGAATTCAGAAGGACTTCTTTGAAATAGTTTTCTCAGATGTCTTTGACTTTTGAGGAAACCTATTTAGGCATATCTGTTTGTAGCCTTCTTTTCCAAATTATTCGGTATTAGCAAAGGCATTATAGATGGCTGTCCTCCACCCTTTAAAACCACTACTTTTTTTTTTTAGCTACTATCTCCTGAGCTCCAGCAATACCTCCAGATAGTCTAAATGTCAGGGAGCACAGACCTGTCTTTAAAAAAGTTAAGGTTATTGTGGCAAATGCTTCATCCTGATGTTCATCACATGTCACACCACAGAATGCCAAAAGCATTAGAATTCTGATTTAGATGGTGGCCAAACAAGGCACACAGCACTGCTTTGAGTTACAAAAATAACTCCTTCAATATTTCAGTGGAAATAAAAACATTGGCATCTAGCTTATAAATCAGTCTTTTGTCAGTTTGGTTAATAAGTCAGTTTTAAAAAAATATGAACACCTCTAGATGAAGCAAATGGATTCTAGGATGTACAAAGTTGAGACTCTGAAGACCTCCATAAGATATGGTTTCATTAGGAGACCCTGATTTTTTTTTTTTTTTTTTGAGTTGGAGTCTCACTCTGTCGCCCAGACTGGAGTGCAGTGGGGCCACCACAGCCTCGACCTGCTGGGCTCCGGCGATCCTTCCACCTCAGCCTTCCGAGTAGCCGGAATTACAGGCATGCACTACCATGCCCAGCTGATTTTTTGATTTATTGTAGAGATGAGGTCTTGCTGCCCAGGCGGGTCTCGAACCCTTGGGCTCAGGCAAACCACTCACCTCAGCCTCCCAAAGGCGCGGGATTACAGGCTGAGCCACCGAGCCCGGCTGAGGCCCTGATTTTTAAAAAATATCAGTCTCTTTTCTCATTTGTACAATTTTTTTTTTTGAGTCAGAGTCTCACTCTGTCGCCCAGGCTGGAGGGCAGTGGCATGCTCACGGCCACCACAGTCTTGACTTGCTGGGCTCAGGCGATCCTTCCACTTCAGCCTTCCAAGTAGCTGGGGCTACAGGCATGCACCACCATGCCTAGCTAATGTTTTTTTTTTTTGCATTTTTTGTAGAGATGAGGTCTCGCCAAGTTGCCCAGGCTGTTCTCAAACCTGTGGTCTCAGGCAATCCTCTCACCTCAGTCTCCCACAGTGCTGGGATTATAGGCGTGAGTCACCGTGCCTGGTCTATAATTTCTAAAATCACAAAAAAAATAACTGCTCATTGGTAAAAATCCAGAAATATGTGAAACAATTAGGCATATAACTAAAAATGTATCACACTATACCTTTAGTTTTATAACTTACTTTTTTTTTTTTTGCTTAATATGTTTTGGACTGTTGCCCAGGCTAGAGTACAGTGGCAAGCTCACACTATCCCCTGCTGGGACTGCCTGAACCCAGCAGGTTGAGGCTGTGGTGGCCATAAGCATGCCACTGCACTTCAGCCTGGGCGCCAACTCCTTTCTTTTTATTGGTTGCAAAGTGTTGTTATTATATTGGTATATCATAATTTATTTAACCAATATCCTACTGATGGATGTTTGGGTTATTTGTAATTTTTCTCTATTACACCAACGTTATAGAGCACATCTTTTATATGTGTATATGCAGCACATTTTTGAAAATTTGTGTAAGTTTTCTTGCAAGATAAATTCTGAGAAATGGAACTGCTAGATCAAAAGGTACTATAAACTTGAAATTCTAATGATCCAACTTTTCTCCAAAATATCCATACAATGAACTCTCCCACCCACAGAATAGAGAATTCCCATTTCTTCATAACCACTTGGCACTCTCTTCATACCTTTCTTGGCAGCTTTTAGCTGTGATGATCATGTTCAATTTGCCAAATCTAAATACCAAAGGAAATCTGGTATTTCCCAAATGACCCAGAATGCAGAAAGACTGAAATGAGAGGAATATGTCCCTTTTACTTACTATCTGTTGGGTTCCTCATTGGATAAGACTGGGTATAATTGTTCACACAGTGTATTAATTGTGGACTGATGGAAGCACAATAATTTTCCACTGCTTTGATCTGAGATGGACCAGGAGAAGAGTCTGTTCGAAAAATGGCTTGACAGTATTCTCGGCAGTTTGTGTGATGACCTGCATAACTGCAACAAACCGAGCCCACTATGGGAAAAAAGAGATGATATTGAAATGGAAACAGCTTTTTGTTAACATTGCATCATCATCATAATAATGGAACAGTAAGTTTTTCTAAATTTGAGAAAGAAATACATGCCACAGAAGATAAGCACTTAAAATTACTTCTGTAGGCATTCATGGGGACATTCAAGTGCTCACTAGTACAGAAAAGTCAATATTCATCAACTTATAATCTACATCCAGTGGTTCTCCACAGGAGTAGCACTATTCTCCTGGAAGAGTTTGGATGCACGGAGAAATATTTCTGTCATGATGACTTGGGACTACTACTGGCATACTACTAATGTATGGGAGTCAGGGCTGCTAAATATCTTGCAAAGCACAGAGCAGTCTCACACACCAAAACTGTCTCCCAAAATGCCAAAAGTGCCTATGTTGAGAACCACTGAAGTAGCTTCTTTCTGCATTAGATCTGTGGGAGTTTATAAACAAAGCAAAGCAAGACCAAACCAACTCAAAATAAAACCAACCCCCAAATGCCTCACATTTAACGGTAAAAAACTAAGAGATATCAAGAATACCCAATAAATTTGTCAATTATATAACTGTTTATCTTTCAACAACCCCAAAAATTCTCTATAGTCTGAATACACAATTTTAAGAATATACCTAAACTGAGACAGCCTTCATCTCACAATTGATATGATCTGCTCCAATACTGAAAGGTGAAACTTACATGAAATATGACTCTAGATTTATGTATTAAAAAAATCAGTGGACTGACATTTCAGGTATCTTGGGAGAGCTGTATGAGTGGCTGGGGTGAACACGTGGAATTTATGATGGAGAAGAGCAAGAGATCCTCACAGGAATCTGAGAGAGTCTGTGGGGGGTGGGGCTGAAGGGAGCCAGGGTAGGGGTGTGGCAGGAAGAGGTTAAGAGAAAGGCATGCAGGAAACCCCTGGTAATTATTAGTGATGGCTATGGAGGAACCAGAATCAGGTTTGTGGTGAATTTCATAGACCAATAAGGAAGAAACTCAGGTGATGTCCAGAAATAATGATAACGACAATGGTAAAGTCATATAAATGAACTGAACTAGGGCTGAACTGATGTATAACAAGCCTCAGTTTTCTGGACTAGGAATCTGTTCCATACTTGTTGTGTCACTTGTTTTCGACTTGCAATTACTGTGACCATTGCTGAAGAGTTCACTTTCACCATAAATAACAATTATAAATGGCTGTATTTATCACTGGAAATCTAATGAGGATAAATTGGAGGTGGTGGTGGGGCACGGCGAAGACATGTAAGAATACACAAGTAGGCATAGGCCAAGATGCCCATCTTTTGACTCTCCATTAGGTTGGCTTCCTCACCAGTGTGGGAGCACATGATATTATGTGTCACAGACTACCTGAAAAATCTTGAAATAAGCCTCAGTTAGAAAGGGTAGAAGATAAAGTATGAACAGCTAATGTTTCTTATTATTCTTTTTTTTTTGAGTTGGAGTCTCACTCTGTCGTCCAGACTGGAGTGCAGTGGCCGCTCCCGGCCACTGCAGCCTCGGCCTGCTGGGCTCCAGCGATCCTTCCACCTCAGCCTTCCGAGTAGCCGGAATTACAGGCATGCGCTACCACGCCCAGCTGATTTTTTTATTTATTGTAGAGGTGAGGTCTCGCTGCCCAGGCAGGTCTCGAACCTGCGGGCTCAGGCAATCCACTCACCTCAGCCTCCCAAAGGCACAGGATTACAGGCTGAGCCACCGAGCCCGGCTGTTTCTTATTATTCTTAAACATATCCCCTTGCCAAGCTAATCTAAAAAAATCTTTGTTCCTTAGATGTGTTTTCCCATCTCTAATACTCTCACTGTTTTCTCTTCACCTGGAATGCCCTTCCTCCAGTCTCTACTGTTCACATCTTGGCCATCCTTCAAAGCCCATGTCGGCTACCAACTCTATGAAGTCAACTCTAAGCGCCACTGCAGAATGTGAGTCTTCCTTCCTCTAAGCTCCGGCAGCACTCATCCAGTGACACTATCTCATATCCTACCATGTCTCGGAGTTCTATGTGTTCAGGTCGTATCCTCCACAGATGTGTGTCTGTCCCACTGTCAATCAATGTCTGCTGAATTAACACATTCGCGACCAGCAAATTTTTCACTTTCCTAATACTGAGAGTGGGTAGAAATAAAAAACACCTGAAGCTAGTTGCTGCAAACTTCTGTCACTAAGTACAAATGAAATGGTCTTTTCTAAATTGTCACTTTTTCACAATACAGCTTAAAGTTGCAGACATATCCAGTATTTGCCTCAGACACCACTCTGACTAGCATTCCGTACTTTGTATTTTTATTCAGATTACAAACCCGGAAAGACAGTCTTCCATAATGAGGTACCATGGATTCATCCAAGGAAAGTTCTTGTTCACGTTTGTACACAAAATTTGTCAAGGGTTCAATTTTGCATAATCTGCTTAGATTTGACTGCTTTTCTGCATTACTGGGAAAACGCAAAAACCACAAAATTTGGAGGAATCTATTTTGTGTCATTGTTTTTGAAAAGAAAGGCATTGCAACTGACACACATGTTGACTAATAATCATGTATTGTGGTTTTCTTCACTTGTCCCATCAAAATATTTAATGCCAGAAATTTTTTCATCTCAGACACTGTAGTATTGCTCCACTTTTTTGATTTCTTTGGACATTTATATCTGTGGTGCACCTGATCATAATACCTGTTAGTTTCAGTTAAGATCATTTCTATAAAATCATCTCCAATAAACAGTCTGACAACTTCACTTATACTTTGAGGATCACTTGGAAATACCTCAACACCTGGATTAACAACAAACACTTCTATGTTTCTTTTTGGATCATATTTTGTCCACTCAGTGTCTGATTCGTTCTCATCAGTACTAGATTCAGATTATCTGTGTTATATTTCTTTGTTTACATTGCATCATTACATCACTGTCTCACTATCACTAATAAATTCACTAGATTCACCTTCGACCTCAGAAATCTCATCAGCATATATTTATTCATTTTCCATAAGTATGGTAAATTATTTTTAATGTTGAAGCATGAAAGCCCTGAAATATCAAAATACAAGTATACAACACTAATTGCAATAAAATAATGACTTGCAATTTTTACCAACTACGTAAACCAATAACATTTCACAGTTGATATCAGATAGTTATCTCAATTAACTTTCTCTCTCCTTGTCTATTCATTTTCAAAAGCAAAATATAACACATACATATGACAATGTTGCAGCATTCAGAAATAGAATTTGCATGATGTAAATTCACATCAGCGGCAACCAGGAACAGAATTTGGAATGACACACATTCATGTCATTGGTCACGAATGAGTTAACTGAGAGGCAGCCCTAGGTAAGTGCTACGTTACATAACATGTGTATGCTTTTCTGAAAGTTGTTGTATCAGGTCATGATCATCCTCTAGCACATCTAGCTCTAGTATCTGCTTTGTAAATCTACTATTAGGACGTGGGAATTGTTATAACACATGAATGAACTGAGCACTCCAGAGGAAAGAGCCTATCAGAATCCTGCTGTGCACCTTTCTTCAGATGACTCATAGCCTACATTATAAGCCCTGGGTCTTGTCAATATTTATAACAGCTAATCATGGTCTGTAAGCTATATTTTGCTCTTTGGGCTGCTTGTATAACCATTGACAATATACTTACTTTCATTTCTGCTAATGCAACTGAAAAGAGCATTCTGTAAATTAAAAGAAAAACAAATAAACAGAAATTAACAACCACACAACATTTCTAATTTTATTGCACTTTATGTTTCATGGAAATCAGGATATCAAACAATTTAATTCTCCTCTAAGTCCAAGACTGAAAACAAAGAAGGTATGAAGTGACATCCTGGAAAACTATTTTCCAACACATATTGGAGATCAAGATGATCACCTAGAGCCATAAACTGACCATGTTACAGTAGCAAGTTTATGTAAAGTTGAATCAGTGTGGGGTGGGGGGGGGAGAGGAGAGGCTGCGATGTATTAATCTTAAATATTTCTTACAGAATATAAAAAACTTTCAAGAAAATAATCTAATAGGCCAGGCACAGTGGCTCACGCCTATAATCCCAACACTTTGGGAGGCCAAGGCAGTATGATTACTTGAACCCAGGAGTTTGAGACCAGCCTGGGCAACATAGCGAAACCCTGCCTCTACAAAAAGTAGAAATATTAGTCAGGCATGGTGGTGCATGCCTGTAGTCCCAGTTACTCGGGAGGCTGAGGCAGAAGGATCGCCCAAGCCCAAGATTGAGGCTGCGATGAGCTATGATCATGCCACTGCACTCTATCCAGAATGACAGAGCGAGACACTGACGAAAAAAAAAAAAAATCTAATACATCTAGGACATTTAGGGAAATATACTATACTTTACATAACCACTGCATTTTAGAATTGAAAGAACTTTAGAAATCATCTGTAATTGCTCACAACATGGCCATAAAATGGAATCACCTGGGCTTTCTAGGCTTTACCCTGGACTACAGAATCAGAACCAGGGGTGGAGCACAGAAATCTAAATTTTAAACAAGGCTTCAAAGATGATTCTTACGTAGTCATTCTGGGACAAGAGTTTGGGAATCTCCCTACCATTTTACAGATGAAGAAACTGTTTTCTCAGCAGGGGAAAGAGCAAGGTCATGGAGCAAGTCAAAAGCAGAGCCTGAGACTACAATTAGTGTTTCTAGAGCTCTTAGCTTGCTGTTCAGAGAACACAGCTTGTGTTAAAGTCATGGTAAGAAAAATAAGAGAAAATAAGAAGCAAAAAAACAAGACAAAAATGAAAAACTTCTTGCACTAAGTCATTTGAATATTCAGGGCTTGTCAGCTATGATTATCAATCACAATTTGAAGAGAATGACCTCTTAAAAGAAATAATATAAGCACAAATAAAATATGGAAGGAAGTCAGGTGCACCCTTATTGTTGAATTGAGATAATTCTGGCTTATAACTATAGCTAAATCACAAGCCAGCTAGTGATATGGACTTGTTAAAGGACCATCTTTACTGATATTTAAAACCTAGCTTCAAAGACTCATTTATGTAGTTGTGTAAAGCTGTACTGCATTTTTCTCCATTAAATAATATTCCATTATAGGAATAAGCCACACGTGAGTTAACCATTTAAAGCAAAACAAAACAAAAACCTCCAGATCTTACAGATAAGGGCTAATGCATTCACCCAGTATGAATTTTTTTTCTGCTAGAGATTTCATCAAGCAGTATTAGAGTAGTGAGAAAGTAAATATTCTTAATGTTCTTTAATAATAATCTTTACATCTCTCTTCACTCATGCCTCCTTGTTTTAGTTTGGTTCTTCAGCTACCCATTGCAGACAGCCCTCTATTTGGCTTCACTGGTCTCAGGAACACTTATAATATGATCTAAATCAATATTAAAAAGTAGTCAGCTACCAACTTTCCAGCTCCCTTTGGATGAATACAATTCTCATTGCCCTTTTCTTTCTTTTCATTTAATTTTTAAATAGAGACAATGTCTCAATATGTTGACCAGGTTGATCTCAAACTCCTGGTCTCAAGCAATCCTCCCACTTTGGCCTCCCAAAGTGCTCGGATTATAGATGTTAGCCACCAGGCCTGGCCCCATCCTTTTTTCCTCCAATAAGCTGGTTGTTCCTTATGGTTTTGGCTTTTTTGACTTTGTACCTGAAGAAATGTGTCTGAGTCTTGGTGGCTTCCCCGGGTTGTATGGCCTGATTTCTACTTTTGATATTCTTCTAATTATTCTTAAAGTCTCTAGTGCAGTGGCTTTCAACCAGGGGGTGACTTTGCTTCCCAGGAAACATTTGGCAATGCTTGGAGACATTTTTGGTTGTCACAACTGGGTAAAGTAGGAGGCTGCTGCTGGCATCTAGTAGACAGGCACTGGGGATGATGAAAAGCATCCTATAGTACAGGACAGCTGCCTGCCCTCATCTTCCACAAAGGATTATCCAGACCAAAATATCAATGGTGCCAAGACTGCTGAACCCTGCTCTAGAGACTTACAAATTTGTTCAAGCTGATTTTTTTAAAAAATTGATCTTACAATGAAAAGAAATGTCATTGTAGGTCAGTCTTGTGGATCACCTAGGTTCAGAGAGAGGTACTAAAGGACATAAAACCTGAGAAATGTCAGAGATCATCTTGTCTAACTTCCTTATTTACAGAAGCCAGAGACCAAAACCTAGAAAGAGGTTATACCTATTGATAATAGCTTTTACTCACAAACAGGAGTCAGCAAACTATGGCACACAAGCCAAATTTTGTCTGTTACTTGTTTTTGTAAATAACGTTTTACTAGATCACAGATATACCCATTCATTACACTTAAAAAAAATTAAAAACAATTTTTAAGAGACAGAGTATTGCTATGTTGCCTAGCCTGGCCTCAAACTCCTAAGCTTGAGTGATTCTCCTGCTTCAGCCTCATGAGCACCTGGGACAACAGGTATATACCGGCCTGTTGACATGTTTTATATGGTGACTTCACACTAAGCATACTTCAGTGGCAGAGTTGAGTAGACAGCGATGGGATGGTCTGCAAGTCTATATGGTATTTGTTATCAGGCCCTACAGAAAAAATTTGCCAACCTCTAAAGAAGAAGGAAGAGGCACAGTTGCTTCCTTTGATATCACATTGCGTTCAGAGATGTTCCTGCATCTCTCCAGTCATTTCTCTTGATGTTTATTAATAAACCTTTCATGCATTGGTTTATCTGAATTTGTTAAACTAAAAACTTTTATTTATTCACACAGCAGCACTTTAGTGTTAGTAAATACCATTTTTACATCTTTACCCATTTTAAGGTTTAAAATAATGTTTCTTCATTCTAGCATACTAATATTTGATGAATTCATCAATTCTGTTACACCCATCATGATTTCATAGACTGATCATATGCCCCCCCTTTCACGAAAGCTGTCTGGCTTTACTATAGATAATTCTACCTTTTCATTGCTTAACTATTGCTGATTAGCTAGACATGACTTAAGACATACACCTAACAGATTTTTCATTTCTTAAGTCTTCAAGGTTTAGCAAGTGAATTCTTAAGTCTTTCAAAAGTCTGCCATCTGGTGGCAAAAGCAGGAGATAACTGAGGGTTGGTATTCACTCCTTATGGAGCCTCCTTTGACGTCCTGCTTACCAATGCCAACGTGCCTCCACACAGCAACTCCCTCACCCCACTCAGCTTACTTGAGAAGAGATCAAAATCACAGTGGGTCCGAGGTGAGGATCTGTCACAATTTCAGAGACCCAGAGAACACAGCAGCATACCAGAGTTGACAGGGTCTCAAGAACTTCAAATCCCAAAGCCTGCACGATCCACTTGGAAAGCCAGATGTGCACAGCAAGCAACAGGCAAAGCCAGGGGTAGAACCCAAACTGCTCCACCAGTGCTCCTCCATGACACTGTACTATGAGAACAGTCTGGACTGTTTTTCTGAGCACAGTCGACGCAAGGCTGAATATGTACCCAGAGCCATCTATTTAATAAATGCCCTATTTTTTAAAATCAGCACCGAAAATTGTAAAAAAAAAAAAAAAAAAAGTAAACATTTTCTTGGGATTAGTATTATTTTCCTTAAAATCTTGAGGGGGGAATCCCCAAAATTTGGACTTTATTTATAAAAAATTGTGCATTTATTTTCACATGTTTAAACTTCAGTCACCTTCAAAGTATCCTCCACTTGATGCAATACACCTACCAAGATGCTTTTTCCACTGCTCATGATAGTTTTTGAACTCGTCAATTTTGATGCCTTTTAGTGCTTCACTGCTTTTTGTTTCACCTCTTCCACATCAGCAAAACATTTTCCTTTAAGGACTTTTCTCATCAGGGAAACAAACAAAAAAAAGTCACTCATGGGAGATTGGGTGAGTGGGGAAGGAGGGACACAGGGATTATGCTGTTTTGGTCAAAAACTCCTGAACATTCAGCATGGTATGGGGAGGTACACTGTCATGGTAGAAGAACCAGTCACCTGTTTGCTATAACTTAGAACATTTCTTCTGCAAATTGTGATGCAATCTTCTCAAACTTCTGGAAAAAACTTTGGTTGACCATTTGATCCAGAGGAACAAATTCGGAGTGTACTACAAGAGGCCTGCCATCCAAAAGATAATTCTGGCATTTTTGGGGTCCCTCCTCGTACTTTGATCCTAAAATCTTTCCCTAATAGCTGCTTTCACTAATAACCAGTTTTCTGCCCTAATCCCACTGGTTTTAAGAAGTACAACAAGCCCTTCCATCTAGTGTTGGGAACAGGTGAACTGTGGGCAAATCTGGCAGAAAAACAAAGCAATAGAGTAAATAAAAGTTGAGGGAAACTTATGTGATCCTTCATGCCACACTGATCCTCCTTCTGGGGGGGAAGAGCCTGTGGGTGCACCTGGGAGGCAGATTTTGCTGGTCCAGAAGTTAGCTCTGCAGATTTATTTTCTGCCAGTTCAGTGACCTCTTTCTAACATGTATCCTTTTACTACTGGCCACTCCAGCTCTCTCTCCCATTCTCACCAGGTTTGAATTTTGGATGTTTTAGTATCTTTTGGACAAAGACCAAAAATCAACTTTTCTGAACTGTTATTTAGTGTTTTCTATACCCAGTGCTTTCTATTTGACTAGGCTAAGTTAAACGTAAAGGGGCTGCTTTGTTCCTAAGGCCTCAATAAATGTCAGCTTTTCA